AAAATGTTCGTTTTCTGAGCAAGAAATTAATGTACTAGAAATTCCACAATGCGTAGCTTTCTAAACATAAGGCAAGGTCAGTTCAGGAAACATCCAACTTTCCGAGGTGCCTAAATCTCGGATACACCGAAGCTGCAAGTATATTTCTTCGAGGACAAACCTATTCACATTAAGACATAAACGAAGCTCACTTTTGATAAAATAAAGGACAACAATCAATATTATATACATTCGACATTATTTTTGGAGGTTTTTTCCTGTGCAACCGATAATTTGCGACGCGTACATGCACTATGGCGTCTGCCGCAAAAGCAATATCCTTGAACTCTTCTGTTTCTATGATTGTAAATAACAGATCGTACAGTTATATCGAACAGTAACCTAACAAAAATATTTAAATAAAACTTACAGAAGTAATCGGTAAATGGTGAGAAATTCTTATTTTTGACACTCAGCATAAGTTATTGTTAACGCTGTCAGGAGTGATTCGTGTTTGAGACAGCGCTTTGATACGGCGTAATGTTTATAGCGTCGAAAAAGTGGCGTCGTGGCTTCAATGTTATTGCTGAAACATCCTTATAAGGAGCTAACAGCTTGTCACTGACAATAGACGCCTCGTCGAGAAATTAAAGAGCCTGTACCACATGCATAGGTTTTTAATAAAATTAGTTAGAACATTGCAATATCCTGAATTGCCTTTTTAATTAAAGAAACAATATGCGGTACATATCAGTGGTTTTGAAAGTAAATTTTGAGCAGTTAGAAAAACGTATTGGTTATAGATTTCAGGGAAACATGCCTGCCATTAATTTCTAGGAATTATTATTTATTTCCAAGTAATATTGAAGCATGCTGACGTGGAATTTCCTAAAGTTTTACAAGAGGATCATGGTTTGATCAAGATAAAATATGTATTCGTGTGAAAAGTTTTCTTGTTTTCTTATTTTGGTAATTCGAGGTTTGTTGCTAGGGCAACTAAAGCTGGCGTGTTGTGATTATGAATGGTTTTCCACTAGCGATATTTTTCGCACGAAGCAACTTTATTCCTTTGTATTTGAGCAATTTGTTCCAGATGATTGCAGTTGAGAGCTCTGAAACAAAAGTAGAATGTCGCTTCGCCCGAAAAATATCGCTGGTGGAAAACCGAATTTAGAACAGTCAACTGCGACATCTGGAACAAAATTGCTCAAAGACAAAAGAATAAAGTCCCTTCGCGCAAAAAATATCGCTAGTCTAAAACTTATTTCGCTATTATATGAATTGACAGTCTGCACAGTTTGAATTTCACAAAGAGAATTAAATCAGGCTTACCAAAGTTGGTAGATGTTGAGAAATTCTTCACTTCAGCACTCAGCTAACGTTGTGTTAACGCCGTCTGCAACACTTTATGCTTAAAACACCTTGTCATGTATTGTTGATAGTGTTGAAGATATCTCGTGACTATAGCGACACTCCTTGAACATCCTTATAAGGAGCTAACAGCTGGCCTCTGACAATATCCACTCCCTCGCGAAATTAAAGAAGGCTGTACCACCTGTGGTTTTTAAAATGAGAAAGAGCATTGCAATAATACCCTGAGTTTCATTAAAAATTCATAAGTTCGTTTCTAAACAAGCAAAATTTAGTATTCTCAAAAGTTTTCGGTGTTTTTGATGCTACAAATTGGCTGCAAAAACGAGTTTGTCACAGGAAAAGTAGATTTAACGACATTCTAATAACGTAGTTAGTACTAAAAGATAGGAGATAAGATTTCTAACGGATTACGCCATCGGTTATCAGTAAGATATCGACATTTCTAAGCGCATAATTTGGTTTCTTGGTTACAAAACAATCATTTTGTGAAATGACGCCACTCTGCATGTGTTGTGGTTGTAAACACAGCGACAAAAAGGATAAGAAACACGTTTGACTGAACAGGATTAGTAATTTTAGCAGCGACAAAATACTCCAGTTCTAGACGAAGCAATTTGCAGCTTGTTAAAGCCGCTGTATAAACATTTCATCGTCAGCATGGCAGGCTCTATACATTTTAATATCAGTCACAAATTAAACAATGTTTATCTTTAATATATTTACATAAGAAGGATTTTGGCTGATGAAAAATCGAGCGAAATTTATTTACATTTAAATCTAACCTGATTGCTTCCATTAACGGTACTTGCCGAGTCACTTACGCAAAAAACAATAAAGTTGTCTTTCGGGGGCCGGTTATATCAAGCCCGTTTAGCTTAAACGGTGGATAAGTTCAAAATAGAAAGTAAGTCTATCGTTTTATTCAACAAGCAAACTAAATGTCTTTAACCTTAATACAAAGATACTGTTTACAACTACATATGCAGTGCATAATATTCAAGTTGACTCATTCAAGAGAGATGTAAGAGTGTTATTTAATTTTGACTTATCCACCATTTAAGCTAAACGGGCTTGATACAACCGACCCCTGATAGGTATTCTGTGGTTCTGGGGCAGGTTGTATGAAAGCTGGATAGTGCTATCCATCTGATAGTGTTTTTTTCAACCGTTTAAAAATGCTCGAAAAGCAATAAAATTTCAGCTTTGGAACCAACAATTATCGAATAGGATCCTCAATTTAAGAATATTAAGATTTAATCAAAATTATACCCAACAACGGGCGATTTTAAAGCGATTGAAAAACAAAACTATCCGGTGGATAGTGTTATCTGGCTTTCATACAACCGGTCCCTGGTTGCTCATATATCGAGAAAGCGGCGAAACAATGATTGACCATCACGACAAAAAATATTATCATATTCACGCAAGGACACAATAAGAAGTTTATATTGAGAAAACTTTCAGATGTGAGGTTTCACAACAGCAGTTGCATTACGCCTTTTTTGTATCATTCCTGGCAGTTCTTTCCAGCCATCTCCACCAATGGTGAAAGATTCCACTGAGTTGAGAATTCCCTGCTCACAATTGAATCCACCAAACACGACAATGACGTCATTCATGATGACAGCTGAGCAGCCGCTCCTTGTGTGAATCATGGAGGGCAGTGGCTCAATCTGCCCCGTCTCAGTGTCATACATGAAGACGTCATTTAATGCCTGAATAATCTTATCCACACCACCGAGAACAATGATCTTATCACCCCAAGTGAATGTGGACATTTTAAAAACAGGCTGAGGTAACGATGGACATGGCTTGAACTTATTGTTAACCAAATCATAAACAACAACGCTGTCAAAAGTATCTTTACCATAGATGGTTGTTGCTCCGCCCAAGATAAATAGTTTTCCATTAACAAGTTCTGCTCTGTGATATTGTCTTGGCTCAGGCATTCTCGTCAGCAGCTTGGCAGTATAAGGTGGGGTAAGAGCAATCTCATAAATGGCATTCGATGTTTTTCTTTCATTCCAGTCATATCCTCCTATTACATATAATTTTCCTTGATAAACTATGACGTCATGACCAGATAATTTGACACGCAGTTTACCATCAAACATTGTCCATCGCAAAGGATGTTGGTTCATCTTCAAAACTTCGATCGTGCCAGTTGCATCTTTACCATCGAAACCACCAACGACCAGAACGTCATTGTTGTAAACACACGATGCTGATCCTTCTCGAGGATGATTCAATGGTGGCAGAATAGTCGATCTCTCCTCAACAATATTACATTTTTCAACAGTATTCAAACGGGGTACGCCCGCAATGCCATACCAACCACCAATAATAATAACGTCTTGGTTGTTAGTTGGAATTGTGGGATCCGTAGCCTGAGCAACATCTCTGTTGACAATATTTTCTTGGAATTGATGACCCAATAATCCTTCAAGTCTTTCAAACTGCTGCTTTATAACCTCAAAACTAACCTAAATTGGAAATGAAAAGTTACGGTGTAGCATCATTACTTATTCATTATTACTTTTAAATCTCAGCCGAAATCCTGTACTGACACATAGAGTGACCACTGGGGATGCAGATTCTAAGAATTACTGACGAGGTTGGCAAAATGGATCTGTGGCATGCTCTTGTGAATAAACAATGCATTTTTAAAGCTTAGAATTTTATTTTACAACATTTCTAAGAGTGTTGTAGTTAGTGCTGCAAAGTTTTCACAGCAAATCACCGCCAAGCTTGTGGTATCGCAGTAAAATCATCCGACCAACTATTTTACCGACAGTTTCTTTAGAAACGAGGATCATCTAAGCGCTTTCATCACCTTCATCTACCGAAGGCTATCGGAACGAAAGGGGCTATGCTCACATGCCGCGGTTTTTTACACTGTGCAAGTTTGTGCGTGAAGCTTAAGAATATGGCGCTAAATCCAATGGCAATAGAAAACCTGTTTACTTGATGTACGAGGAACCATATTTTGCAATTTAAACTAAGTTCAATAGGAGGGGAGGGAAATCTACTGCAAGTTACAACCACGCATTTTTTCCCAAATGAAGCTTCCCAAATTTAAATTTTATTTTGTTCCGGTGGGTCTTCTAAAGCGTTAAGAATTACATTTCGATACATCAGTTTAATAATTACATCATTTCGCCAGGGATCCAACGCGCATTGGACGTTATTTTTCAACGAGGCCGTCCAGGCAAATGACATAATTATCGAGAAAGTGCATTTCGTCACGTGACAGTTTATATGATAATCAATGACCAGCAATTATGAAATATTATCAGAAATATGTTCTTACCTCCATTTTCGCTACTATCTCGTTATTTCTTGATTGGGTTTGTTTCATCTCGTCAAGAGCTTTCTAAAATAACAACCTCACTCACGTTCATACTCATTTAATATGAATTACCTCGGAAACGGGGCGATGGAAACAAGTTAAGGTGAAGATGAGTCTGGATGTAGAATATGCTGGTTATCTCAAAGTTAAACTGCTTACTATGATAGATTAAATTTTATGTAGCAAGAATATAGAAGAAACATCATTTTTATAGAAATATCATCTTATACTAATTCCTAAGAGAGGGGATTGCTGTCTTTCGTACATATCACTTTGACTATATCAGTTAAAAATTAACCTTCGTCTCATCTTGTCTCACTTTGATTTGATCTTGTTTTCTTGCCATTTGAAGGTGATGAATCCCGATTTCCTGTACTTTCTCGTTAATTCCTGATTGGGTTTGTTTCACTTCATCCAGAGCTTTCTAAAACAACCTCACTCACGTTCATACTCATTTAATATGAATTACCTCGGAAAACTGGACGATGGAAACAAGTTAATGTGAAGATGAATTTGGATGTAGAGTATGGTGATTATCTAAAAGATGAAACTACTTATCATGATAAACTAAATGTTATATAGTAAGAATATAGAAGAAACATCATCCTATATTGTTTTTTTCTAAGAAAAATCATCTTATACTAATTCTTAAGAGAGGGAATCGCTGTCTTTCGTACATATCGCTTTGACTATATCAGTTAAAAATTAACCTTCGTCTCATCTTGTCTCACTTCCATTTGATCTTGTTTTCTTGCCATTTCAAGTTGACGATATTTCAGCTCAGCTTGAGACGGTGTCAGTTTGTTGACATTTGTCTAAATTGCAGTTTAACAGTTAAAATATTTTCTCCGAGGTAACACGATCTAACTGATCTGAGAGTGTGTTCTTAAATACGTTCTGCCAGCATTTATCCCCCCCCCCTCTATAAATTAGCCCCTGGTCCATATCTGCTAGCTGGAAAATATGTACAAGGGGGTTCTTTTTAGGGGGATCCAAATCTGCTGGGATACCGGCTAGGGCTTGGTAACGCTATGCACGAGATAGTTACACATATTTCAACCATTTATTTTAATGTTAGCATTCAAAAATATAGAATATATTCATGACATTCAAAAATTAATAAAACAATACTAATAGTCATAACAGATAAATCTTTCCTTACCTTAATTTTCTTTACTTGTTTCTGTATATTAGAATGCATTGTTTTAATTCCTGTCACCTCGCTTCTCATTTCATCTTGAACTGTATTCGTGAAGGTCTGAATTTCTTCACAACTATTGGTGACTTCATTCAGTTCCTGCCTTTGTAAATTCTGATTACCCTCCATTTCATCCAGGTTTGTACGAATTTTTTCACAATTATCGACGATTTCTTTGAGTTTCCGTTTCTGTCTTTTCTGACTACCCTCCATTTCAGCTAAATCATCGTCAATATCATCTAGCTTCAGTCCATACGCGTCCTGAGTTTCTTCCAGTTCCTTTTGTTTATCGTCGAATTCTTTCTGTCTCGCTCTGATAATCGCGAAATCATCTTTCATTTCTTCTTGACGCATTTTGATATTTTTCAAACCCTGAATATTGGCTCCACCAAGCTGACAGAAACTCTTCTTGTGGTTGTCTTTATCTTTTGCATTTACTTCAAGGTGACACTCTTCACACGTTACTGGACGGTATTCACAATTACTCACATGATTTTGTAGATTTCCAAGCTCAACATGTTCGGGACACCCTCGATTGATGTAATCACACTGGATTCTCAGCTCTGATAAAAGGTTCTGGAGGTGCTTTCCAGGACATTTCAAAGTTTCCAAAGTGAGATTTTGCCGACATTCTGGGCATGTCTGGGAATTAGGAAGATGTTGAGATATGCAGTTTAAACAAAATTTATGTTCTTCTGCCTCACATAATCGTGGCTCGTTTAACACACACTGGCAAATGCAGCATTTAAAACCATGAAGAACTCGATCAACGAAACGGTCAGGATCATAACCTTCACCCATCTGCATTATCTTCACATGAATCTGAAACATGTTTTCAATAAATAGTTAAATAAATTATTGCCATAAATTACTTCCTTAGCCTGGATTTCATTTGGACGTAATTATCATGAAAATGTCAAGGTGGTTGATGTATTTGAATATTGCTATGGCGTGTGTTCAATCAACAATGACCGATTGGAATTATTATTATTCAACAATAACAATAAGTTTACCTCTGGACTATTTCACATCGGCGGGAATGACTTGTTTAAAACGATTGCAACAAAAGGAAACGATTGATATCGATAGAGTTCAAATCTTTTACAAGTAACACAAGATTTAAAATATCATCGTCAAGGAACGCTTCGCTGCAATAGTTCATAGTTGTGTTTACACTGTACACCGTATTTTGCAGTTTTAGAACGCTCTGAACACTTTGAATTAGGATTTTACGATGAAATCAAACAATAATTGTGAGAGAACTAAGATTTGTTGACAAAGATTACACTTAAACGACAAGTGTTGATCTCGTGACTCGGGAATCTGGTAAAGTGTAAACGTGGCAACCAGTGGAACTATCAAACCTACAGTGATTGGTAGCGAGGCTGATATTGACACTGACATACCATGCAACTTAAACCACACGAAGATAATCAAATTAGACTTACCGAAGCTGATGAATTATCACAGAATTTTACGTAACCATTTTTGTGGGTAGCCTGCGCATGCGCGGCTAACCACTATGTAGTCGAAAAAGTGTCCGGATGTTTGTGTGTGTGTGGGTGCCACATCTTCGGTAATCGTCGGATATACGAAAGATGACGAACGGTGGTTCTTCTACTTCCGGAAAATTTCGTTGTTTCGAAGGACCGTAGAATAGTGGTGGGCGATACCGTGAGTATCGATTTCGATACGATACCAAGTACTTTTTCATCGATACCAGTGGTATCGATACTTTTTCGATACCGATACTTGTCATTAGACACAAAAATACACACACTATCAGTAATTTTATTCTTACAACAACAATAATCATTCTTCACTGGTATCTAACTTTTCAAAATAATCCTAGACTACACTTTGTGGACGAACATTCGATATAGATGCCATTTAGGCCATTTGAGTAATTTACAAAAAGATTGCATTAAAAGAACACCTGGAAAATGACTGGAAATAAAACTGTACTCATGCAAATATTAATAGGAGAACTTCATGTAACATCAAATATTAACAATAGTTTGACCACGTGACAAGTATCGAAAACATCGATATTTTACAAAAGTATCGATACCAGCTTTTGAGTTCTGAGTATCGGAAGTATCGATACTTTGGTATCGGTATCGCCCACCACTACCGTAGAAGTCACGTTGATACGTTTGTCAAATTTTAAAGCGAAGGCGAGTACTTTAAAGACAAAAAAGCGGTGATCGGTGAGCGTTGAATCGACAACTACAAAGTTACACTAATAGAAAATAAATGAAACATTACTTTATTCGGCAAATGGTAGTAACAAGTTGCCCTGTTTTAAAAATTTTAATGCAATATTTCACCTGTCAATTTCTTGCTTGTGGACATGCAGCTATTAAACCAAATACATTACCTCATTACAAATGGTAGTAACAAGTTGCCCTGTTTTATATAAACCAAATACATTACCTTATTGCAAATGGTAGTAACAAGTTGTCCTGTTTTATAAATTATAATGCAATATTTCACCTGTCAATTTCTTGCTTGTGGACATGCAGCTATTAAACCAAATACATTACCTTTTTACAAATGGTAGTAACAAGTTGCCCTGTTTTATAAATTATAATTTGGCAAATGGTAGTAATAAGTTGCCCTGTTTTATAAATTATAATGCACTATTTCACTTGTCAATTTCTTGCTTGTGGACATGCAGCTATTAAGCCAAATGCTTTGGAGTTTAAAAAGAAGCATTTATTTGAACATAACTAACAAAACATATTTTTTAAAAAACAAAACTTTTAACACAAGTGCATTTAAACTGAACAAAAATCTTTAAAATATTGTTCAGATACATAGATGAGTCCTTTGAAATTGTTATGCTGAAATGTTTGAAACAATTTTGGACTCTTTGTTATATATATGTAACTGTAAACAAGAACAAAGTTCTCTGGTAGCCTTACTGGTAAATGCTACTCATACCTTCCTGGTAACTACTACTGAGCAATACACATTTATATGAATGATGAATGATGGCACTCAATGTTGACTGATTGTCGGACTGATTACCACAGTGATAAGATATTGTCAACTGATAAATTTAAACTTGGAAAAAGCCACACAGATTTTTTGGACCTACGAACTGATGCTATTATGTCCAGCTAATTGATGCTGATAAGTTATCTATAATCAACATTGCAAATCACCTGTACCTTCCTACTGGATCAATGAAATCTACTATCTTCTTCAGTTATAATGGTGATACATATTGCAAATATTCTTTTTCTCCTTCTAAACTAAGCTTTATGTTATCAGATGATGTGTGCCACCATCCCGGAACCTTACTCCCTTTTTTGTTCTCTTCACCTATTCTGCAAAAATTTCATTTCCTATCTCTTGTAAAAATACTTATATATGTTTTGATCTGTCTAATTTAATACAATAAAATATTATAATATATAGATTGTGTACTAAATTGACTTCGTTATAGCTGTATTCAACCAGCTAACTATAGGGCGTTTATTCCCTTGTCTATGGCATTAGAACATAAGACTAGAAAATAATATTTTATTGCATCAGTTGATATTTACTTGCCACTATAGCAGCTTTATCGCAGTTAATAATGTTTTACAGGCTACCCACATGTACGCATTGCGTACCTATTTTTGAACAAGCTGGTGTTAACGCGGTCGACGGTATTTTGTGTCTAAGACAACACCTTGAAATGGCGTAATATTTATTGTCTTCAAAACATCGCGTGATGTCCACGTCATTCATAGAACATTCTTGTGGACCTACGCAATTTGCTGTGACAAAAATTTTTTAACATCATGCTGTGAAACTTGTATTTATTCCCGTCGTTTAATTTGCACGTCTTCGATATTTCAAGTATCAATATGATATTCTAAGTACTATAAAATGGTTCATTGAATGAGTTTTTAAAAGATTTGTAAAAGCCGGTTTCCGTTTAGACACCAGAAAGATTTATCGAATCGAAACTAGTTTCGATTTGCAATTTTTGCCATCATGCTGTGAGAGTTTTAAATATCTTCAGATATTTGCATTTCTTTGACTTTGTTATTTACCAAGTTTCAACTTGAGATTGTATTATTGATAGTTGAGTTATTATCTCGCATACAAGATTCAAAAGTGGTTTATTTTGACACTAACAGTTTTCTAATCATTGTGCAAAAATTGTGTTCATTTCAGTCTCTCAGACACTTTCATTTCTTCGATGTTCCAAGTATCAACATGAGTTTCCTAGTATTATTAAATGGTTCATTGATTGAGTCATTACCACAAGATTTAAATTTGGTTTGTTTCGACAATATCAGTGCCAGCCTCATGCTGAGAGAATCTCTAGCGCTCTCTCTCGCTATATTTAGTATTTAAAGTTGTTGCTCTTTTAAATTGAATTTTGTGCTGGGGTCTTAATTAAATGTTTCATGCTGTGTCGCAAAGTGAAGCTACGAATCTCGCTTTGGCTCGAGTGATTATTGATTTGTGTCCATTTCAGAGCTAGTCTCCCAGAGGGACTCGACTAATCGACAAACAATAACACAACTTTTAACAAGGTATAACAACAGCGTAGAGTTAATAAACAAAGAAATAAAAGTCTTCAAACAACTTAGCATCAAATGTGGTATAACAACTGCCTAAAATAGACGAAACACTTCTCGACGTTTCGACATGAGGGCCTTCGTCAGGAGAGTTAGTAAGGTGATAATACTAACTCTCCTGACGAAGGCCCTTAGGTGGCAACGTCGAGAAGTGTTTTGTTTATTTTAGGCAGTTGTTATACCATATTTGATGCTAAGTTGTTTGAAGACGCTGCCACGCTGCTCTCTGGTTATGTTTAACAAGGGTTTAAATTATGTCCATCGTGATTAAATATTTCATGCTGAGACCCAAACTAAAGCTATGAATCTCGCTTTGGTTCGAGTAATTGATTTGTGTTGATTTCACAACCAGTCTCACATAGGAAGTCCAGACATGAAATAATACAAAATGATTATTTGCCTTCATCGATGAACAAAAACACAACATGTTGAACGCAAAGGTTTAAATTACGACAAAAAGTATTCAATAACAAGTAATTTCAAGTGGAAAGTTTTCCAATCGAATTTGATACTTATCAACCCTTTCAAAATTAGCGAACATCAAGTATAGTGCTACAAAATCTCAATTGATTTATTGAAAAGTGTTTGAAATTCAGATGAAGACACAGAAGTCGTAAGGATTTCAAGAGCGTATTTAAATACAGCTTTTATGCGACGTTTTAAAGGGAGGGAGGCTGGGGAGATGTCTACGGAGAAGTGTTTATGACCCAAGTGTCCAAGAGCATAATTCGTCAGAAGTGTTAGTAAAGTCATACAAACTCTCCTGACAAAGACCTTTAGCTCGAAACGTCGAGAATTTTTTCCGGTCTAACAGTTTTTAAACCCGGCACATTTGATGAGAAATTATTTCATCATATTTACATATGAAGCTTTTTTACTAAAGAATTTATTCGATGCACATGATTATTGCTGATGCTCACAGATTAATATTGAAATGTTGAAATGAACCATCATAATATGGAATTATATCAACACATCAACAATATATTCACTCACATATTCAAACTAATAATTACACGTCTACAAATACAATAGTACACGAGTATAACCTTACTGAATCTAATCTTAAATTTAATCCTAATCCATAAATCTATTTAATTTCGGATAATAAAGAGGTTTAGGGATGGATTTAGGATTAGATTGAGCTCGTGTATTATGAACCTGAATTCGGAATAACTTTCCTTACCTTGATCAGCTAAGAAATTTATATCACGAAATACCCCGAGCTATCCATATCCATCCTTGGAGGTCTCCCTCAATGGTGTCAATTGTCCCCATTTTAACCTGCGATTTTGAAAAATGTTAAACATTAACTCTACTACCATGATGAATTTCGTAAGCGAAAAAAGTTACAAATCCTCTCTCAAACAGAGCAGGGTACTGGGTCAGGTCTGGAACCGCAAAGCATCTATGGATTGTTTTGGTGGAAAGGTAATACAATAATACGTAAATTACGATATTTCGTAAAGCTATTCGACATAGGTCCAAAAGCAATCTTTAAAAGTTTGATTGCGTTTGCTGAAAAATCTGGACGAAAAACTTATGTAAACAAGTATAATTAATGCTCTGCATAAATTAACCCAGCTCTGAATATTAATTACGCCCCTGTAGAATTGCGATAATATGGAAGATATTCTCTGTCGGTTTCAACAATTCTTTTCATACAAAAGCGATAAAACTCATTTCTTTATTTAAGATCATAAAAAAGGTTTCTTACTCAAGATATTAAAGTCTCTTCATCAGCTTATAATGCACTCAGAGATATAAAATATTACATTCAAATGATTACTGGTTATATTTTACAATACGGGTGTATAAAAAGTAATCTCACTTTAGCGAGATATTGTACGTAACTTACTTGATCAACGAGAATAACTTTCGAATATGAAGACAGAACAAGCATTTGGCTGTTGAATGAAACGATTTTCACAGCGTGGAGAAAATAAACAAGGAAATATAAGTCGATTAAAAATCGTGGCAAGAAAATGATTGAATTTCAACACACATCCTGATGCACGTTTGTCGTCCATGCATGATAATTATTCTAAGCATCGTTTAACAAAAGGCAGTTTGACAAACCGTGATTAATTGCTTTGTTCTTTTCTTTATCATAGCGCAGAGGTGAAAATATTTGAATTTGACCAGGATTCTTCAACCAACTCGTATTTGTTTATCAACAGCTAAAAGCCAGTGGCCGGTTGTATGAAAACTGGATGGCGCTATCCACCGGGTAGTGTTTTTTTCAATGGTTTTAAAATCGCCCGCTATTAGTTATAACTTTGATTAAATCTTGAACAGATCCAAATAGCAAAATTTCTCGATGAATTTGCAGAGTTTAAAGGTTTCTTGCACAGAAGGAAGTCAGAGGGAACTCCTGCAAGAGATCGGAACATTTTCGGGACACTGTCGCGCTCACTTCGGAAACACGAGATTTTACGAAGATAGGCAGTGTGATCGATCCATTATATGGTATAGATTATGCAGCTCAGTGGATATGCAAGCTATATTTCCAAAAGTGAAATATTATTTTGACATACAATCCATTTTTTGCATGTAACACGAATATTTTAGTTTTTGTTCAAAAGCAAACGGTAAACCGCAAATATTTCGATAATTTTTTGTGCAATAAAGTCGGGCACGTTTCGACAACGTATTTTTTTACCTAGAAAATTATTTTAGACCATTTTTCTTTTAAATTACAGATTTCTTCATCTGTCACTTTGACAAAAACAACTCGCCGCCATTTTGAAAAATCCGATCAGCTGATTATTGCGTAATAATTCGAGGTCGCTCGACCAATCAGACGCCAGAACTTTCAAAAATCACTTTTGCAATTATTATACGAATTCATTTTATATTATAAAGCTTGTAACGCAATGCCTTGTGAGCTTTTTGGGTTAAAACCACTGGACAATTCACGCTTCGTTGAAACGCTTAAAAGCAAATAGCAAAAATTACCCAGAATAACCATCGTAAAAATAATTAGGCTTAGTTCAGAAGTATCTATCTTTTATTGGTTAACATTTACCGACAAACTTATTTCACTAATGAATCTAATGTCTTGCTTATTGCTAATGTCCATTGGTTAAGATAAATGTCGAATTGAACCTATTTACACACTAATAATATTGGTTATATCTCACCAGACGTCACAGTATAAGAATATAGAAATATTATAGATGACAACAGCAGTTATCAACATTGGTTAGGGTAAAATATTGACTATATGAGCAAAACATTATATATCTATATCTATTTATCTTATGTTATATATTTACACACTAATAGTATTGGGTAAACCTCACCAGACGTCACAGTATAAGAATATAGAAATATTATAGATGACAACAGCAGTTATCAACGTGACGTGAACAATGGCTGTTTCTTGATATATGAGAAAACAAAAATATAAACAAAATACTTCATGTTAGACTCAGGGTTATGATTAGGGACAGGCTTCTGGTTGCTCATATATCGAGAAAGCGCAGAAACAATGATTGACCATCACGACACAAAATATTATCATATTCATGCAAGGACACAATAAGAAGTTTATATTGAGAAAACTTTCAGATATAATGTTTCACAACAGCAGTTGCATTACACCTTTTTTCTATCATTCCTGGCAGTTCTTTCCAGGCATTTCCACCAATGGTGAATGATTCCACTGAGTTGAGATATCTCTGCTCCTTATTCCATCCACCAAACACGACAATGACGTCATTCATGATGACAGCTGAGCTGCCGCTCCTTCTGTAAATCATGGAGGGCAGTGGCTTACTTTTCCCCGTCACAGTGTCATACATGATGACGTCATTTAATGGCTTATCATTCTCATCCATACCGCCAATAACGATGATCTTATTCCTCCAAGTGACTGTGGACATACGACTAACAGGCCAAGGTAACGACGGACATGGCTTGAACTCATTCTTAATGAAATTATAAACAACAACGCTGTCAGTAACATCTTCAATACAGTCGGTTGTTGTTCCGCCCAAGATAAATAGTTTTTCATTAACAAGTTCTGCTCTATGATCTTCTCTTGCTTCAGGCATTCTCGTCAGCAGCTTGGAAGTATAAGGTGGGGTAAGAGCAATCTCATAGACGGCATTTGATGATTTTTTTTCATTCCCGTTATGTCCTCCTATTGTATATAATTTTCCTTGATAAACTATGACGTCATGACAAGACAACGTGACAGGCAGTTTACCATCAAACATTTCCCATCGCAAAGGATATTGGTTCATCTTCAAAACTTCGATCGTGTGTTCTGCTTCTGTACCATCGAAACCACCAACGACCAGGATATCATTGTTGTAAACACACGATGCTGATCCTCCTCGAGGATGATTCAGTTGTGGCAGCATGGTCGACCTTTTCTCGACAATATTATATTTTTCAACAGTATTAAATGGGGATGCGTTCTCAAAATCATACCAACCACCAATAATAATAACGTCTTGATTAACAATAGTTTCTTGATAACGCAATAATCCTTCAAATTTTTTAAACTGCCGTTTCATCATCTGAAAATCAACCTGAATTGTAAATAGAGAATTACGGTGTAGCAGCCGTGTACCAACACAGAGTGACCAATTTTCGTGGTTTTTATGAATGTTTTGTTGTTAGCGTTGTAAAATTTTACATCAAAGTATAATCGTGAGCAAAACGCTACGAGTTAAAGTGCATAAATACTTCTAAAGATATTTGGGATCAAACATGCCAAAATATAGTTTTTTTAATAGTTGGCCGGGAGAAAAGAGTCTGAGAACTAATTATAATCACCAAAACAATAGCATGTGATTGTTTTTGTGTCATAAAGACTTATTTCTAAAAGGGCATTTAGAATGTCTAATGAATTACCGACATAATTTCTCGATAAATAAGTTTAAAACATAAGTAACTGTGACATTCTCATCTTGCATCGAATCGCCCTTGCAGATCTCGCAGATATAAAGTCCATCTGTTTTTCAACCGCAATTTGTATCGTTTTATACGGAGTAACCCAAATTTCGCCTCTTTTCAGTCGAGGGAATGTGCGTTGTTCTAAAACCAGGCAGATTCCCAAAAGGTCATCAGACTTAAAATATTTGGAGCAAAGGCATGGCATTCACGTGATGGCTCCAATCCAGCGCGCTTGAATTTAAGGAAGTCTATCAATTTCGTTCGTCTCCTTACTGCCTCTGGGCGCAAATCTCCATTATACATTTGATTTTTGGTGTGTTGGAACAACCATATACGACACATCTAGCCGGCATTTTGCAACGCAATTCACGCAAAGTATACAAATTTTGATGCATACGTTCCGTGCCCGGTATGACTTCAAAACCTAATTAGTTCTTAGACTTTTTTTCCCGGCAAACTATTGAAAAAACCTATATTTTGGCATGTTTGATCCAAATACCAAAATATCTTAAGAAGTTGCGGCATTTTAACACGTCAATGCAGTAATTTTGTAGTTTTACCCGAAAGTATCGCTTTGACCGTATCTTTGACGGAAATATATCGAGCAATAAAGGGTTTTCAGCAAATGACGTACAGTATATATAACGAGAGTGTTATATAGCAATCGTCAATTTAAGAAAACAAGATCAAATAGAGGTAAGACAAAATTTCATCTTGGGACAGTATTAGTCGGCTAATATTTGTCTAAATTAGAATACGATAGTATATTTTCTCTGTGGTGACACAATGTCGTTATACCTTGGACTAAATATATTTAATCTATGAAATCAAGTTAAAATATGATTAATAAGATTTTGATTTCTCGACTTTATTAAATTTTAGAAATACAACCTTCATCTGATCTCCTCTTACCTCCATTTGAACTTGTTTTCTTGCCATTTTATGCATCTTAATTTTCATCTGTTCTTGGGACGGTGTTAATTGGTCAACATCTGCCTAAATTACAGTACTATAGTTAAAATATTTTACCTGTGGTTAAACGATGCAAATGCATTGGACTTAATTACAAGCTATAAAGCGATTGGTCAAAAATGTGAAACAGAGAACCTATTATATAATAAAATCCCGAAATCAGAGCTCGTTGTTCTCCTTGTTTTGGGCTTTTGTTTTTCCTGTACTCTTGAAGGTGCTATAGTGTAGGTGCATGATTGAGGCAAACACCTAATATGATGTACAAGGGTCTGTCTCAAAGAATACGTCTGTCCAGCTCTCGATATCAACTCCCAATCCAAATTGTCAAAAAAATACTTATTTGATAATTTAGCAAAAAATTATAACTCATTTTCCAATGAAATAAATAAAATAAATGTTTTGCTAAAAATGGAGCCGTCGAGAAAAATCAATATTTATCAATTCTCTCTGATTTGTATCATTGATAACTAATTGTTCGTCATTGTAATTGTTAGTAATTGTAAAACCAGTGGTGTGCCGCTACTAAGCTTGCTGAACATATTAAAAAATATCATCACACTTCCACTGGGGGGGGGGGATCGGTTAGAAAAATCTACTGCAAGTTACAACCACGCATTTTTTCCCAAATGCAGTTCCCCAAATCCAAATTTTTTTTCGCTCCGTTGGGTCTTCTAAAGCGTTAAAAATTACATTTCAACACATCAGTTTAAAAATTACATAATTTCGCGAGGGATCCAACACGCATTGCTCATTTTTTTAACGACCGAGAGCTTCATTTTGAGTGCTTTAGGCCCCGTTTCAACTTTTTAGTTGCTTAGGGCGTTTTGTTTTAACGTATCTAGCACACAAGAAATATATTCGCATGGTTACAACAAGATATGTTGGAAGGAAAACAACTAATGTCATCTGTTTGAGCAAATTTTGAAATTACAACCTTTATCTCAACTTGTCTTACCTCAATTTGATCTTGTTTAAGAAAACAAGATCAAATAGAGATAAGACAAGATTTCATCTTGGAACGGTATTAATTAATCGGCTAACATTTGTCTAAATTAGAATACGATAGTATATTTTCTCTGTGGTGACACAATGTCGTTATACCTTGGACTAAATATATTCAATCTATGAAATCAAGTTAAAATATGATTAAGAAGATTTTGATTTTTCGACTTTAATCAAATTTTAGAAATACAACCTTCATCTGATCTCGTCTTACCTCTATTTGAACTTGTTTTCTTGCCATTTTATGAATCGCAATTCTCATCTGTTCTTGGGATGGTGTTAATTGGTCAACATCTGCCTAAATTACAGTACTATAGTTAAGATATTTTACCTGTGGTTAAACGATGCAAATATATATTGGGATAAATACAAGCTATAGAGCGATTGGTCAAAAATGTGGAAAAGGGAACCTTTTATATAATAAAATCCCGAAATCAGAGCTCGTTGTTCTCCTTGTTTTGGGCTTTTGTTTTTCCTGTACTCTTGTGCTATAGTGTAGGTGATTCAGGCAAACACCTAATATGATGTACAAGGGTCTGTCTCAAAGAATACGTCTGTCCAGCTCCCGATATCAACTCCCAATCCAAATTGTCAAAATAATACTTATTTGATAATTTAGAAAAAAATTATAACTCATTTTCCAATGAAATATATAAAATAAATGTTTTGCTAAAAATGAAGCAGTCGAGAAAAATCAATATTTATCAATTCTCTCTGATTTGTATCACTGATGACTCATCATTGTAATTGTAAGTAATTGTAAAACCAGTGGTGTGCGGCTACTAAGTTTGCTCAATATCTTTAAAAAATATCATCACACTTCCACTGAGAGGGGAGGGAAATCTACTGCAAGTTACAACCACGCATTTTTCCCCAAATGCAGCTCCCCAAATCCAAATTTTATTTTGTTTTGTTGGGTCTTCTAAAACGTTAAAAATTGCATTTCAACATTTCAACACATCAGTTTAATAATTACATCATTTCGCGAGGGATCCAACGCGCATTGCACATTTCTTTTAACGACCGAGAGCTTCATTTTGGGTGCTTTAGGCCCCGTCTCAACTTTTTAGTTGCTAAGAGCGTTTTGTTTTAACGTATGTAGCTGAAGAAGAGAACGCATATAAGAAATATATTCGCATGGTTACAGCAAGATATGTTGGAAGGAAAACTCCTAATGTTATCTGTCTGAGCAAATTTTGAAATTACAACCTTTATCTCAACTTGTCTTACCTCAATTTGATCTTGTTTAAGAAAACAAGATCAAATAGAGGTAAGACAAAATTTCATCTTCGAACGGTATTAATCGGCTAACATTTGTCTAAATTAGAATACGATAGTATATTTTCTCTGTGGTGACACAATGTCGTTATACCTTAGACTAAATACATTCAATCTATGAAATCAAGTTAAAATATGATTAATAAGATTTTGATTTTTTGACTTTAATTAAATTTTAGAAATACAACCTTCATCTGATCTCGTCTTACCTCTATTTGAACTTGTTTTCTTGCCATTTTATGAATCGCAATTCTCATCTGTTCTTGGGATGGTGTTAATTGGTCAACATCTGCCTAAATCACAGTACTATAGTTAAGATATTTTACCTGTGGTTAAACGAAGCAAATATACAGTAGGTGCCAAAAAAATGAGTCCACTTGGTATTAAAAGCTTTTCTTTAATTTTTAATCATATTTATAACTATGTCACAACAATGTTTAATTTTACTTATACAAATTATGAATTTCAGTACTTGGTGTGTCCCCCTTTAGCTTTTAAAATAGCCTGAACTCTTTTTGATTCAGGCAAACACCTAATATGATGTACAAGGAGTCTATCTCAAAGAATAGGTCTGTCCAGCTCCCGATATCAACTCCCAATCCAAATTGTCAAAATAATACTTATTTGATAATTAAGAAAAAAAATATAACTCATTTTCCAATGAAATAAATAAAATAAATGTTTTGCTAAAAATGAAGCGGTCGAGAAAAATCAATATTTATCAATTCTCTCTGATTTGTATCACTAATTGTTCGTCATTGTAATTGTTAGTAATTGTAAAACCAGTAGTGTGCTGCTACTAAGCTTGCTCAATATCTTTAAAAAATATCATCACACTTCTACTGGGAGGGAAGGGTACAACCACGCATTTTTCCCAAAATGCAGTTCCCCAAATCCAAATTTTATTTCGTTCCGATGGGTCTTCTAAAGCGTTAAAAATTACATTTCAACACATTAGTTTAGTAATTAACACGCATTGCACATTTTTAACGACCGAGAGCTTCATTTTGAGTGCTTTAGGCCCCGTTTAAACCTTTTAGATGCTTAGGGCGTTTTGTTTTAACGTATCTAGCTGAAGTTGAGCACGCACATAAGAAATGTATTCGCATGGTTACAGCAAGATATGTTGGAAGGAAAACTCCTAGTGTCATCTGTCTGAGCAAATTTTGAAATTACAATCTTTATCTCAACTTGTCTTACCTCAATTTGATCTTGTTTAAGAAAACAGGATCAAATAGAGATAAGACAAGATTTCATGTTGGGACGGAATTAATCGGCTAACATTTGTCTAAATTAGAATACGATAGTATATTTTCTTTGTGGTGACACAATGTCGTTATACCTTAGACTAAATACATTCAATCTATGAAATCAAGTTAAAATATGATTAAGAAGATTTTGATTTCTCGACTTTAATCAAATTTTAGAAATACAACCTTCATCTGATCTCGTCTTACCTCTATTTGAACTTGTTTTCTTGCCATTTTATGAATCGCAATTTTCATCTGTTCTTGGGATGGTGTTAATTGGTCAACATGTGCCTAAATTACAGTACTATAGTTAAAATATTTTACCTGTGGTTAAACGATGCAAATATACATTGGACTAAATAAAAGTTATAAAGCGATTGTTCAAAAATGTGAAACAGAGAACCCATTATATAATAAAATCCCTAAATTAGAGCTCGTTGTTCTCCTTGTTTTGGGCTTTTGTTTTTTCTGTTCTCGTGAGGGCGCTATAGTGTAAGTGTTTAGGCAAACACCCAATATGATGTACAAGAAGACTATCTCAAAGAATAGGTCTGTCCAGCTCCCGATATAAACTCCAAATTGTCAAAATAATACTTATTTCATAACTTACAAAAAAATTATAACTCATTTTCCAATGAAATAAATAAAGATATATGTTTCGCTAAAAATGAAGCAGTCAAGAAAAATCAATATTTATCAATTCTCTCTGATTTGTATCACTGATGACTCGTCATTGTAATTGTAAGTAATTGTAAAACCAGTAATGTGCTGCTAGTAAGTTTGCTCAATATCTTCAAAAAATATCATCACACTTCCAGTGGGAGGGGAGGGAAATCTACTGCAAGTTACAACCACGCATTTTTTTCCAAATGCAGTTTCCTAAATCCAAATTTAATTTCTTTCCTATCGGTCTTCTAAAGCGTTAAAAATTACATTTCAACACATCAGTTTAATAATTACATCATTTCGCCAGGGATCCAACGCGCACTGCACGTTTACTTTTGAACGAGGCCGTCCAGGCAAATGACATAATTATCGAGAGGGTGTATTTCGTCACGTGACAGCTTATATGATAATCAATGACCAGTAATTATGAAATATTATCATAAATATATTCTTACCTCCATTTTCTCTACTTTTTCGTTAATTCCTGATTGGGTTTGTTTCATCTCGTCAAGAGCTTTCTAAAATAACAACCTCGCTCGCGTTCATATTTTTTTAATATAAATTATTTCGGAAACGGGGCGATGGAAACAAGTTAAGGTGAAGATGAGTCTGGATGTAGAATATGGTGATTATCTCAAAGGATTAAATTTTATGTAGCAAGAATATAGAAGAAACATCATTGTAAGCTGTTTTTTATAAGAAACATCATCTTATACTAATTCCTAAGAGAGGGGATCACTGTCTTTCGTGCATATCGCATTGACTATATCAGTTAAAAATTAACCTTCGTCTCATCTTGTCTCACTTCCATTTGATCTTGTTTTCTTGCCATTTCAAGGTGACTAATTTTCAGTTCAGCTTGAGACGGTGTCAGTTTGTTGACATTTATCTAAATTGCAGTTTAACAGTTAAAATATTTTCTCCAAGGTAACACGATCTAACTGACCTAAGAGTGTGTTCTTAAATACGTTCTGCCAGCGAATATGTCCTCCCTATAAATTGGCCTCTTGTCCATATCTGCTAGCTGGCAAATATGCACAAGGGGGTCCGTTTTATTGGGATCCAAATCTGCTGGGATACCGGCTAGGGCTGGGCAAGCACCAGATAGTTATATTTTATGTTCCAATATTTTAATTACATTCAAAAATTAATAAAACAATACTAATAGTCATAACAGATAAATCTTTCTTTACCTTAATTTTCTTTACTTGTTTCTGTATATTAGAATGCATTGTTTTAATTTCCGTCACCTCGCTTCTCATTTCATCTTGAACTGTATTCGCGAAGGTCTGAATTTCTTCAAAACTATTGTTGACTTCATTCAGTTCTTCCCTTTGTACATTCTGATTATCCTCCATTCCATCCAGTGTTGTACGAATTTTTTCCCAATTATCGACGATTTCTTCAAGTTTCCGTTTCTGTATTTCCTGACTAACCTCCATTTCTTTCAAACCACCGTCAATATCATCTAGCTTCTGTCCAGACGCGTACTGAGTTTCTTCCAGTTCCTTTTGTTTATCGTCGAATTCTTTCTGTCTCGCTCTGATAATCGTGAAATCATCTTTCATTTCTTCTTGACGCAGTTTGATATCTTTTAAACCCGGAATATTGGCTCCACCAAGCTGACAGAAACTCTTCTTGTGGTTGTCTTCATCTTTTGCATTTACTTCAAGGTGACACTCTTCACACGTTACTGGACGGTATTCACAATTATTCACATGATTTTGCAGATTTCCAAGCTCAACATGTTCCGGACACCCTCGATTCATGTAGTCACACTTGATTTTCAGCTGTAATAAAACGTTCTTGAAGTCTTTCCCAGGAAATTTTAAAGTTTCCAAAGTGAGGGGTTGCTGACATTCTGGGCATGTCTGGGAATTAGGAAGATGTTGAGATATGCAGTTTAAACAAAATTTATGTTCTTCTGCCTCGCATAATCGTGGCTCGTTTAACACACACTGGCAAATGCAGCATTTAAAACCATGAAGAACTCGATCAATGAAACGGTCAGGATCATAACCATCACCCATCTGCATTATCTTCACATGAATCTGAAACATGTTTTCAATAAATGGTTATTACCACAATTATTACCACAAATCACTTTCTTAGCCTGGTTTCCATTCGGACGTAATTGTCGCGAAGATATCATTAATGTCAAGGGGGTTGATGCATTTGAAAATTGCTTTGACGTGTATGTAAATCAACCGTTTGGAATACAAAAAATAGCGAAAAGTTTACATCGGGAGTATTTCATATCGGTAGAAATGACTGGCTTACGACCATTAGGGCAAAATCGAAACTATCAGGTTTATCTGAGATTCAGGTTTTAATGAACTGTTATTCTGAATCATGTTTAATAAAATACTGTGGGAGAGTGAAGAACTACTTTACTTTCGATGTAAAAAGTGATGTCAGATTGTGTTTATGTGTTATTTACTAGTTTTCTCTTTGATAGCGATACAGAAATGCACAATTGTGAACCAGTGATTAGATTTTCGGCTTGAAACTTCATAAACAGCGATTTCTGCAGCGTTTCTAAAAGGTGACTCCAATCAAAAACCATACTCTAGCTTTTAACAATCCACCCTACATGCACAAACAACCTGCTGCTAGAAATAATGGAGTTATCTTAGAGTTTTATTAGTTTACTTCAAATGAGCTAAGTTTGTTTGATTACGCGTGATATGTTGCGCGACTAAAATGTTCGTTTTCTTAACAAGAAATTAATGTACTTGAAATTCCGCAATGTGTAGCTTTCTGGACATTTTTTCCTGAAAAGGCAGGATACAAAAACTAAACATAACGCAAGGTCAGTTTAGGAAACATCTAACTTTCCGAGGTGCCTTAATCTCGGATACACCGAAGCTGCAAATATATTTCTTAGGTGCTGTTTACATGAGCCCGGTTACCCGAGATTCAACGAAGCGTGAGAGGACTTTGAGGTATTGAAATAAGTCTTTCTGATACCAAACAAGCACATGCTATTGTTGTGGTGATTATACGACTGCCAGGATCATGTTATCTGCTCATTTTAATACCTCAAAATCATCTCACGCTTCGTTTAATCTCGGGTAACCGGGCTCATGTAAACAGCCCCTTATAGGACAAACCTATTCACATTAAGAAATAAACGAAGCTCACTTTTGATCAATGTTTTGATCAGGATTGTAGGTCTACCTAGGCTAAAAATGTTTATACGATGATATTACCCTCATTCGTTTTCAGTCTCTGAACAGATTTAAAATTACATGCTTCATCTCATCTCGTCTTACCTCGATTTGTTTTTGTTTTTTTGCCATTTCCTGAATCTGAGTTTTCATTTCATCCTGGGATGGTGTTAATTGGTCAACATTTGTCTAAATTACAATACGTTAGTTAGAATATTTTCTCTGTGGTGACACGATACAATCTATAAAGTTTAAAACTATGAAACAGGGAACGTATTTTATGAATAAAACATCGAAATCAGAGCTCGTTGCTCTCCTTGTTTTGGGCGTTTGTTTTTCCTGTTCTCTTGAGGGCGCTAGTTAAGGTTTTGACTTGTTTATTCAAGCAAAATACACCCAAAATGTTGTACAAAGAGTCTATCTCAAAGAATAAGTCTGTCCAGGTCCCGATATCAACTCCCAATCCAAATTGGGTACTTTAGGATACTTATTTCACAATTTTCCAATGAAAATCAATGAATAAAAACAGTAGTAAATGCACAAAAATAAATAAACATTTTGCTAAAAATGAAGTGGTCACGAAAAATCAATATTTATCAATTCCCTCTGAGTTGTGTCATAGATGACTAATTGCTTATAATTGGTTATCAGGGTGAAAAATGAGAATAAGAAAGTAATTGTAAAACCAGTGATGTGCCGAGATTGGTATCACTGGGGATGCCATAAGGCTTGCTCAATATCTTGTACAAAATATCATCACACTTCTAAAACGCCTTAATTGTGGGACTTTGATATTGTTGGGTGCTTCATTTAGGCATAATATTAGCAAAAATGTTCACAAATCACCTTCATTTTCTTCACTGTTTTATGTATTTTATCATATTTTCTTTTATTTCCAATGACCTCATTTTTTTTCTCCTCTTTCATTTCATTCGTCAAAGTACGAATTTCTTCATAACTATTGTTGACTTCATTCACTTCCTGTCTGTATAAATTTTGACTTTCCTCCATTTCATCAAGTCTTCGCGAAATACGAGTAATGTCAGGTTCAATCTCACGGCGACAATTTTCACACGACACTGGACGGTATTCGCAATTATTTACGTGATCCTGAAGGTTTCCAAGTTCAACTTGCTCCGGACACCCACGATCGATGTAAACACATTTGATTTTTAGCTCTGACAAAATGTTCCTTATTAACCCTTGGGGATGTTTCAGAGTTGCTAGAGTAAGGGGTTGCCGACACTTGGGGCATCTTTTATCGCTAGCAAGGGATCGTGTTATACAACTCAAACAAAACAGATGTTCTCCTGCCTCGCATAATCGTGGATCTTTCAACACACAGAGGCAAATACAGCAAATTAAATCATGTCTAATTTGACTAATGAACCGTTCTGGTTCGTAACCTCCGTCCATGATAGCGATGAGCTCAATCTATCTGAAAAAAATTTTCATAAAGTGATTATGTGCTTTAAACCTTTGAAATCTAGTCTACGGAATTATTGAAGAGTGAACGATGAAATAAACCTTTACTGCACTGTAGCCATATAGACAATCCATTGGCGATATTTATTAAAAGTGATAATGCACTTCGTCTTAGATATTCAATAAAACTGGATCGATGGAATTGAGTACACCTTAGCAGTATAATTTACAATCTAAAGTCAAATTTAGGCTAGAGATAGAAATAGACAAAGAATATAGGTATTTGTTCCCACTAAAGGATTTTAATATTCAAATTCAAGCCAGCAAAATCTCTTATACTGTATAGCCTAAGACCTGTAAAGGAGTTTGTATGCATTTCATTTAGGACAGATTAAGTTTCATATTTTACAAGAAAATGAATGTTTACCATTACTGATTATTGATTTAGTGATTATGCATAAAATTACAGATTCACCTGGCAAAGTCTAATTTTTCCAATTTTCAAAAAATTTTTGCCATATGATGAATAAACATGCTTATTTTAGTATATTTATTCTAAACTAACAATATTTTGTTGCGATATGGCACATTTCATCTCACTTTCCCATCGCTAGAACACGATTTCAGCCATATTTTACAAGTTTAATCGCCGTTTTTCGCCGTGCATCAGAAGCAACTTCCATATATTGTACTTTAACACGATACTAGTGGACTAAAGAATTATTCAACGAAGTAGTGCCAAATTTTACTCGGCTTGTTGAGTGATTGTGGTTGTGAACAAATGTATTCTTGAATTTTTGTCTCCCCGTAATGCTGTCCACGAGGACTCCTCGCGGAGTTTGCGCGAGACTTTCAAATTATTTTGAATCTTTCGCACTTGAATTTCATTCCCGATAAACGAAAGGAGGTTTTTACTTCCAAGTTGGACAAATGCTTTTAAATTTTGGACAGCTGTTAATTATACCATCAAATATTTATCGATGCTGTGAAAAAAATACAGCTGGGGATCAAGAAGTGGCATTTATCGTGCAGAAAAGCGACGAGACATCGCAATGGCGACATAATTAATGAAATGTCAAGGGACACAAAAATGAAAAAATAGGCTCGCTGAGGCGCGCATGTATCTACTGCGTTCAAGGGTGATGGTGAACTGCATATTGTTTGAAGCAGGCGAGTCGAATTTGTAAGTTCATGATATTTGTTCACCACTTAAAATTGAGAGACTTCCCAAAAGAGAACTAGGCGACTCACAATTAAAACTGCACAAGCACATAGATAATACGGAACATGGTAATGAACTATTCACACAAATATATTAATGCTCACAAATGATTATTCAATACAAAACGAAACAATATATAAATCGATTAGTCAATACAACTTTTTTTTGAAAGGCGTTTAAAACATATATGGTATATATACATTATTTACATCTACTTAACGTTTTGTAACGATTTACCAGACATTTGCAATGATAATGAAGGTGTCATTTTTATGTATGCAGATGACACTACCCTGTATGTAATTGGGCCAACCCATGATCAAGTTTGTTCAGCACTAAATAAAGTTTTATCTGCGATGCAAAACTGGTGTAATAGTAACCTATTAACACCACATCCAGGAAAAACAGAATGCATGATATTAAGTCGAAGCAACTTTATAGGACCACTACAAGCGATTAAACTGGGAAACCACTGTATTAAACTGGTTGAAAAATCAGAGTTGGGTATTGAAATTGACAACAAACTAACGTGGAAAGCCCATGTTCAAAAACTAATAAAGTCTTTTGTACAGAAACTTAACCTTTTAAAATCTTTATACTTTCTCCCTATCCAAGCCAAAGGGGATTTTTACCATAAAGTATTACTGCCCTCAGTTACTTATGGTTTGATCATTTGGGGATCATGTGGAACGGTGCTCTTTGACGAATTGGAAAGAATACATGTACGAGCTGCTAGAATCATCTATGGGATGGACTGGCAAACACCGACAGCAGACGTTTACAGGAAAGTAAAATGGAAATCATTAAAAGAAATCTATTCTGAAAAGTTACTGACTTTAGCACATAAGTGCTATTATGGTCATTTGCCTGAACTACTTTTGCCGTATTTAGTTAAATACAAAAGTAACTATAACTTAAGACGGAAACAAACAGTTTTACTACCTAAGCCAAAATCTGAATATCTGAAAAAATCAATTTTTTATCAAGCTGCCGTTTTATGGAACTCCTTGGAAAATAACCAAAGAGCTATAGTTAATTTAGGTCATTTTAAACATGAAATACAGAATAATTAATTATGTATATAGTTAGGTTAATTAGTATACTTGTGTACTATATTTTAATTATTAGGATACACGACCACATCAGCTATGCTGTAATTCTATCGTGTGAAAATAAATGCTTTGTATTGTATTGTATTGTACCACAAATAAACAATAAAAGTTTATAATAAAGTGGAAATTTTTTCAGGAATTAAATAACAATATTTACAATTTAATATGTTTAATTTATTAGTGCTTTTAAGTTTTTACTTTTATTTATTTCATATAGTTTTATATTTAACCTTGATCATCAGGTTGCTCTTTGGGTTCGGTCCATTGGAATAGATGAAGAATGACCTAAAAGTTTAAATTATAATTTTATTATTACCTTCAAAGGTTAAACCAGCAGCTCTGATATCTAAGTAATTAGACGGATCATCAAATAACTGATGTGAAACAGCTCTGAAAAAACAATAACCCCCACCACCAACATCAAATGGTCTTAAATTAAATAAATGTAATCTTTGTTCTAATAATGATACATTGGAAGTTATTGCAGTATCAGCTTCTCTGTTATGTTGAATAGGACCAGGGTTTGATTCAATATCACCACACACTAGAAGACTGACCCTGATATAATTGTTGCACATAAGCATAAGGTAACTGCTCATATCATGTTCTGAAACATTACATGACTTAATGGGACACCACAAGGAATATTGTGCCTATGTGGTTTTATTCTGAATTTTATTTTAATATTTATGATGGCTGACAAACATTGCAACTCTCCTTAAAGGAAACAAGATAAATTTACCATGCAGAAGCACGTTAGTTTTCACCCCAAGGAGCCTGATAAGTTTCCCCTGAAGAGGCCTGATTAGTTTCCCCTGCAGAGGAATGATAAGCTTCCTCCAAAGAATCATTATTTTGAGTTGTGGCGATAGGCACATCTAAGTTTCAAGCCCACTGCACCGTTGCTTTCATATGCCTTGAACCTGGTCTGTCCTGATTGCTTTCAGTCAACAAATGGACTGACCTAACCACAAATAAATACAAGCAAAATATGTACAGTATGTACTTACCAAGTTTGTGTGCGATATAATTTGATATATTATATTAAGGGCGATCTTCGACTTCGTCCCGTCTCACCTACATTGTATATTTATAGGATATCGTACAAGGATAGTTGACTAAATAGTAAATGTCAAAAGGATAGTAAATTAATCAAATAATTAGGTAGAAAATACAGAAAACTTACCAAATAGTTCCTATGGTTTGTACTCTCAGTTCAAAATCAACGAAGGAATCGGTGAAGATATTTTAAAAAAGCATTTATATTTATATGCCAATATGCCATGTGTTTTCCTGTGTGTATACGATCGACGATGTATCGACTATCTTTCGTAAACTTTCGTCGCCATCTCTGCATTCTGATTGGCTCCGAAGGCAAAGCAATGGAATACTTGATGTAGTATTATTATTTTGGGTGTTAACTTAACAAAAAAACTTAACTTAACTTAACTTACACAGGCGATAGCAAAGTATCTACTCGCGCATGCGCAGTAGATACAAAAATATTACATGGCACTACTTCAAAACACATCGAAAATTGGTTGAAAAATTCTTTAGTCCACTAGAATCGTGTTAAAGTGCAATATTTGGAAGGCACTTGCGACGGACGGCGAAAAACGGCGATTAAATTTGCAAAATATGGCTGAAATCGTGTTATGGCGGGGGGAGGGGGGGGGGGAGTAAGTGAAATGAAATGTGTCATATCGCAACAAAACATTGTTATTTCCTAGGAAATTTATAATAAATATACTAAAATAAGCATGTGTTTTCATCATATGGCAAAAATTTTTAGAGAATAGGGAAAATTAGACTTTGGCAGGTGAATCTGTAATTTTATGCATAACAAGACGCCTGTTCTGGCGTTAACTCCGGCGCACGTGCCAGTTTTCAATATAGAGCTTCTGAACATAAACAATACAGTTCATATTCGCATTTAGATGCCTTGCGAACCTAAATGTTCGATCGCGAAATTCAGAAGCACATCGTACTTTAAAAAGTATAAAAGTTAAATCGTTCAAGAATGTAAATAAATGGTATAATACATTCGCTTTGTCTTACACTTTGCCTTTGGAATTCGCGCTTATATAGTTATATTAAATCTTCAATCCTGTGCAAACTACGACGAGTCAAAGCGCCCATACACGACCACATCATCTTGTTAAACGGCGAAATAGCAGCGATATTACTAAAATAGGACCAGAATCTACACGTATTAAATATATTCTTACCCCAATTCAGTCTAAACTTAATCGAAAAGCATGAAAAGAACGGTTTATTTGTTCCTCTTGGAGGAATTGCCGTATCATGCGAGCGAAATCGAATCGCGCATCGGAAAATTAGCCAAAGCTGTACACCACAACTCTTGGGAGATAAGACTGGGACATAGATAAATCCAATCACATACACATTTAAATACTAGAATGTTTCGCGCCATTACACACTTGCGACGACGAAAAATAATAAAAAAAAAAATTAAAAAAAAAAAAACAAAAACAAAACAAAACCGAGGCGAATTTTCAACTCCGTCGCTGACGCCGGAGTAATTAGCAGTTGACCTGGAATAGTAAACAATCTTTTCTTGTAAAATATGAAACTTAGGCTAATTTCACCCTCCAGTGACCACCCCTAAAAGCAACCATTCTGAACCATATAAACAATTCAGAAAGACTGTAGCTTTGATAATTCAGGATTTAGAGCTATGTCGACTATGCCGTTTCTGGGTGTGGTCATTTTCAGGACTTTCGTCCCGGATTCACATTATGGCACATATGCTATGTTGACCGTCATGGTCATTTTACCCTAAAACAGTTGAGATAATCTGTCCTAAATCAAATGCATACAAACTTCTTTACAAGTCCTGGACTATACGGCGTACGGCCGAAAGAAATTTTTCATATTTTTGTTTTTATTCGTGTGGCCACGCGCGGGCGCATTTCACTCGAGACCATAAAGGCGGAAATACGGACAGAACGTGTTACTCCCGCGTGTGGCCACACGAATAAAAATAGGTACGCAATGCGTACATGTGGGTAGCCTGTAAAACATTATTAACTGCGATAAAGCTGCTATAGTGGCAAGTAAATATCAACTGATGCAATAAAATATTATTTTCTAGTCTTATGTTCTAATGCCATAGACAAGGGAATAAACGCCCTATAGTTAGCTGGTTGAATACAGCTATAACGAAGTCAATTTAGTACACAATCTATATATTATAATATTTTATTATATTAAATTAGACAGATCAAAACATATATAAGTATTTTTACAAGAGATAGGAAATGAAATTTTTGCAGAATAGGTGAAGAGAACAAAAAAGGGAGTAAGGTTCCGGGATGGTGGCACACATCATCTGATAACATAAAGCTTAGTTTAGAAGGAGAAAAAGAATATTTGCAATATGTATCACCATTATAACTGAAGAAGATAGTATGATTTCATTGATCCAGTAGGAAGGTACAGGTGATTTGCAATGTTGATTATAGATAACTTATCAGCATCAATTAGCTGGACATAATAGCACCAGTTCGTAGGTCCAAAAAATCTGTGTGGCTTTTTCCAAGTTTAAATTTATCAGTTGACAATATCTTATCACTGTGGTAATCAGTCCGACAATCAGTCAACATTGAGTGCCATCATTCGATCATCATTCATATAAATGTGTATTGCTCAGTAGTAGTTACCAGGAAGGTATGAGTAGCATTTACCAGTAAGGCTACCAGAGAACTTTGTTCTTGTTTACAGTCACATATATATAACAAAGAGTCCAAAATTGTTTCAAACATTTCAGCATAACAATTTCAAAGGACTCATCTATGTATCTGAACAATATTTTAAAGATTTTTGTTCAGTTTAAATGCACTTGTGTTAAAAGTTTTGTTTTTTAAAAAATATGTTTTGTTAGTTATGTTCAAATAAATGCTTCTTTTTAAACTCCAAAGCATTTGGTTTAATAGCTGCATGTTCACAAGCAAGAAATTGACAAGTGAAATAGTGCATTATAATTTATAAAACAGGGCAACTTGTTACTACCATTTGCCAAATTATAATTTATAAAACAGAGCAACTTGTTACTACCATTTGTAAAAAGGTAATGTATTTGGTTTAATAGCTGCATGTCCACAAGCAAGAAATTGACAGGTGAAATATTGCATTATAATTTATAAAACAGGACAACTTGTTACTACCATTTGCAATAAGGTAATGTATTTGGTTTATGTAAAACAGGGCAACTTGTTACTACCATTTGTAAAAAGGTAATGTATTTGGTTTAATAGCTGCATGTCCACAAGCAAGAAATTGACAGGTGAAATATTGCATTATAATTTATAAAACAGGGCAACTTGTTACTACCATTTGCAATAAGGTAATGTATTTGGTTTATGTAAAACAGGGCAACTTGTTACTACCATTTGTAATAAGGTAATGTATTTGGTTTAATAGCTGCATGTCCACAAGCAAGAAATTGACAGGTGAAATATTGCATTAAAATTTATAAAACAGGGCAACTTGTTACTACCATTTGCCGAATAAAGTAATGTTTTATTTATTTTCTATTAGTGTAACTTTGTAGTTGTCGATTCAACGCTCACCGATCACCGCTTTTTTGTCTTTAAAGTACTCGCCTTCGCTTTAAAATTTGACAAACGTATCAACGTGACTTCTACGGTAGTGGTGGGCGATACCGATACCAAAGTATCGATACTTCCGATACTCAGAACTCAAAAGCTGGTATCGATACTTTTGTAAAATATCGATGTTTTCGATACTTGTCACGTGGTCAAACTATTGTTAATATTTGATGTTACATGAAGTTCTCCTATTAATATTTGCATGAGTACAGTTTTATTTCCAGTCATTTTCCAGGTGTTCTTTTAATGCAATCTTTTTTGTAAAATTACTCAAATGGCCTAAATGGCATCTATATCGAATGTTCGTCCACAAAGTGTAGTCTAGGATTATTTTGAAAAGTTAGATACCAGTGAAGAATGATTATTGTTGTTGTAAGAATAAAATTACTGATAGTATGTGTATTTTTGTGTCTAATGACAAGTATCGGTATCGAAAAAGTATCGATACCACTGGTATCGATGAAAAAGTACTTGGTATCGTATCGAAATCGATACTCACGGTATCGCCCACCACTATTCTACGGTCCTTCGAAACAACGAAATTTTCCGGAAGTAGAAGAACCACCGTTCGTCATCTTTCGTATATCCGACGATTACCGAAGATGTGGCACCCACACACACACAAACATCCGGACACTTTTTCGACTACATAGTGGTTAGCCGCGCATGCGCAGGCTACCCACAAAAACAAAAATATGAAAAATTTTAAGTCTCATTCGGCCGTACGCCGTACGGTATGCCGAGGATTCAAACATCGATTTCCGATACGAAAATAACGTTTGTTTCAATCGCTTACTGTCCCTTTATAAAGGTACGATAACAAGAGTCGATAAAAACCTTTATTATTGCGACAATTGAAAGAAACATTTCGAATGCAGTACGAATAGCAAATCACACTCGGCCGGCGTACTGTTCCAGTAGGAATAGCCACTTCGTAAAGCGAAACTGTCAAATTTATTGAATTCGCGGAGGTAATCCGACATACTTGAATATCGTAAACGAGGCCTAATATGTTGATTGTGACCTTATGAATCTAGTATAGTGTAACTTGTTTATTGAAACACCAAGAATTTGTGTTCAAACGTCGGAATATCATGTGTTCTTCCAAAATAGTATTCCGCGTCGTCAATGCGTACAAACTAAAGCAAATATGCTAACACACTTACCAGACCGTTTTATTGTGCCAAAACGCTTGTACTTCGTTGAAATGACAGAAAAAATCTCGCTTGAACATTTAACTCACATAGCTCGGTGATTCAATTGCGTTCTACATTTGGGAATCGTTCAATTCTTTCAAATGTTATTTTTCTTTAGTGAAAAGATCAAAATTCCTTAAAATTTCACACGAATTCTCATTTTTATGATTTTAAAAAGCCTCTGGATTAAAGTCCAAAACGATTAAAATCTACGACGACGTGAAGAATTCGAACTAGAAACTTGATGATAAAGCCCATGTTCATAAGGCGCTGCTAAGCTTGCTTAAAATTTCAAGAAATACTATAATGGTTTCACATGTTTAAGGAAAAAGTTCGAAAATTTGCATGACCGGAAGTGTTCAATACTCGATTTCGTCAGCCGAGACAAATGACCGAGATGGCGAGATAATTGAGTGACAAGAGCATTGCACCGGCATCGCAAAAGCGAAGGTTCGATTCCTGCCGGAGAACCGATATTTAACTCATTTTACATCAACTGTTCCTGGCTTGAATTTGAAGTGTGTATAATTCCACTCGAAATTAAGACCCTTTAAACCTCTAGAATATTCCTGCATCGAGTGAAGTGCCAAAAATCATAATTGAAAGCCACTAAAGCCACTGTTTGATTCTCAGTATAACTCGTTTGTCTTAAAGTTGTACAACTGTACAAAAATTACATTTTAACCACTTGAAGTTATTAAACATGCATGTGCTATGAAATAAGATTAACTTTGTTCAATAAATCTGATCTAGTAATATGTAATAACATATAGTAATAGTGTGTTGTAGTAAGTAATAAATTAATAATATAACATATAGTAATAGTAAGGATTGCAAATATTTAATTTATGAATTGTGTAAATGGTAGTTATTTACTGACCACAAATCTGTGTCATGGGTCACACAGACAACCAAATAAATGTGGGTAGTATTCTCAACAGAAATCTCTACAAAATATTATGCCTACCATTCGTTTAGCAGTAGAAACCATTCATAGCATACTGGACATTGCAGTGTGCCTTGTAAAACCATGGGTTAATTCATTTAGTAGGAAAGTACTCAACTGAATAGTAATATTGACTGAATTTGACCATTTAAAGTTGCTCTGTAAACCGATATTATTTTATAGCATGATTCCTACTATACAACGAGGACCGCATTATTTTTTTATATGTATAAAACCTCAAAACAGTTTGCCTCCAATCAAAACAAATAGTTTTGCTAACCCACTAACTGTCAGTATTCATCAACTGATGTGGAAAAATATCTCGCATTAGACAAAGTAAAATAATAAGCTAGCTAAGTATATTGCAAGCTAATGGGTCAACAAGAGACACTCACAGATAGTTTTTTTAATTTTTTAACTGACAGTACTCTTCCACTGATGAATAAGATAATTTGGCATTAGACACAGCTAAATACTAAAGTAGGTCACATCTAGGTGCATTGCAAGCTAATGGGTTAACAAGAGACACTCACAAATAGCTTTGTTAACTTATTAACTGACAGTTCTCTTTCACTGATGAGTAAAATCATCTGGATTAGACAGAGTAAAATACTAAAGTAGGTGACATCTGGGTGCATTGCAAGCTAATGGCTTAACAAGAGACACTGACAGATAATTTTGTTATCTTATTACCTGATAGCACTCTTCCACTGATGAGTAAATCATCTGGCATTAGACAAAGTAAAATACTAAAGTAGGTCACATCTGGGTGCATTGCAAGCTAATGGGTTAACAAGAGACACTGACAGATAGTTTAGTTAACTTATTAACTGACAGTACTCTTCCACTGATGAGTAAAATCATCTGACATTAGACAGAGTAAAATACTAAAGTAGGTCACATGTGGGTGCATTGCAAGTTAATGGGTTAACAAGAGACACTATCAGATAGTTTAGTTAACTTATTAACTGACAGTACTCTTCCACTGATGAGTAAAATCATCTGGCATTAGACAAAGTAAAATACTAAAGTAGGCCACATCTGGGTGCATTACAAGCTAAAGGGTTTTAACAAGAGGCACTGACAGATAGTTTTGTTAACTTATTAACTGACAGTACTCTTCCACTGATGAGTAAAATCATCTGGCATTAGATAGAGTAAAATACTAAAGTAGGTCACATCTGGGTGCATTGCGAGCTAATGGGGTTAACAAGAGACACTGACAGATAGTTTTGTTAACTTATTAACTGACAGTACTCTTCCACTGATGAGTAAAATCATCTGGCATTAGACAAAGTAAAATACTAAAGTAGGCCACATCTGGGTGCATTACAAGCTAATGGGTTAACAAGAGACACTGACAGATAGTTTTGTTAACTTATTAACTGACAGTACTCTTCCACTGATAAGTAAAATCATTTGGCATTAGACATAGTAAAATACTAAAGTAGGTCACATCTGGGTGCATTGCAAGCTAATGGGTTAACAAGAGACACTGACAGATAGTTTTGTCAACTTATTAACTGACAGCACTCTTCCACTGATGAGTAAAATCATCTGACATTAGACAGAGTAAAATACTAAAGTAGGTCACATCTGGGTGTATTGCAAGCTAATGAATTAACAAGAAACACTGACAGATAGTTTTGTTAACTTATTAACTGACAGCACTCTTCCACTGATGAGTAAAATCATCTGACATTAGACAGAGTAAAATACTAAAGTAGGACACATCTGGGTGCATTGCAAGCTAATGGGTTAACAAGAGACACTGACAGATAGTTTTATTAACTTATTAACTGACAGTACTCTTCCACTGAGTAAAATCACCTGGCAAAGTAAAAATACTAAAGTAGGTCACATCTGGGTGCATTGAAAGCTAATGGGTTAACAAGAGACACTGACAGATAGTTTTATTAACTTATTAACTGACAGTACTCTTCCACTGAGTAAAATCACCTGGCAAAGTAAAAATACTAAAGTAGGTCACATCTGGGTGCATTGCAAGCTAATGGGTTAACAAGAGACACTGACAGATAGTTTTGTTAACTTATTAACTGACAGTACTCTTCCACTGAGTAAAATCACCTGACAAAGTAAAAAAACATAAGTAGGTCACATCTGGGTGCATTGAAAGCTAATGGGTTAACAAGTGACACTGACCGATAGTTTTATTAACTTATTAACTGACAGTACTCTTCCACTGAGTAAAATCACCTGGCAAAGTAAAAAACTAAAGTAGGTCACATCTGGGTGCATTGCAAGCTAATGGGTTAACAAGAAGACACTGACAGATAGTTTTGTTAACTTATTAACTGACAGTACTCTTCCACTGAGTAAAATCACCTGGCAAAGTAAAAATACTAAAGTAGGTCACATCTGGGTGCATTGAAAGCTAATGGGTTAACAAGAGACACTGACAGATAGTTTTATTAACTTATTAACTGACAGTACTCTTCCACTGAGTAAAATCACCTGGCAGAGTAAAATACTAAAGTAGGTCACATCTGGGTGCATTGCAAGCTAATGGGTTAACAAGAGACACTGACAGATAGTTTTGTTAACTTATTAATTGACAGTACTCTTCCACTGATGAGTAAAATCATTTGACATTAGACAGAGTAAAATACTGAAGTACGTCACATCTGGGTGCATTGCAAGCTAATGCGTTAACAAGAGACACTGAAAGATAGTTTTGTTAACTTATTAACTGACAGTACTCTTCCACTGATGAGTAAAATCATCTGACATTAGACAGAGTAAAACTCTGAAGTAGGCCACATCTGGGTGCATTAAAATTTAATAGGTTAAATAATCAGTTTATAGAACCACAACATGTATTTATTTTATACAAAGCTATAAAAATCCAGGTTGATGGACTGAAATCTCTGCATATAATGGTGATTTAATAAATTGGGCAGAATATTACTAGTGCATATTAAGTTGTTTGGATAAAATATTATTTATATAGTTAGTAACTGATGTGAACCAAATTTCAACTGACTTTATTTGATTGCAAACAACTAAATTACAATAAAGAACCTCAACTGTGAGGATATGTTTCGTGATAACAGTATATAAGTCAGAGCAAACCCCAAGCATGATTTTTTCTACACTGAAATTCTCTGGAGGTGCGATCAATTATCAGTAATGTTACAAATGTAGAGTGAATGTAGCAATTATCAGAGCTGACTTCAACAAATTCACACATCTTTTAAAATAACAATAAAGATAGCAATAGTTTACTGTACATACCGAAAGAGCACAATATCCTCGATGAATTGGCACGAATATAAAAAATTTGAACAACTGAGCTGAAATATTTTGATGTAAATAGCTTAATTTTCAATGGAAAAACGTAGTTTCAGTCATTCACAAGGTGTATGATAGTAAGAATGTGACGTAACTACGATATCTTCCGAGGACTCAAAAATTCGCGAACCGTCGGAAACTATTATCCGCCATTACCGTTGAATCAGTTTGTGAATATTTGCGATCTCTTAGGCAAAAAAATACCGCTTATTTTCGAAATTCACGAACAACTAAAGATTTAGCCAATTTCTTAGAGCTAAGCGAAGGTATAAATGGCTATTTTGTGCTGGGAATACAAGTGGGAAAGGTCCTAAAAGCCATATTCGCTAACTAAAGGAGCGGGATTTTATACAAGATTGAAGGTGGTGTCTCCACCTAGTAGTTCCATTTTTCACTCATGGAACTTTAGAAAATATAATTGCTTGTAGCGGAAGCATTGAAACAATTTCGTCGTGCATTTATCAATCCATACTGCTTTTTTCTTTAAAAACGCTAAAATATCTTCAACAATTTTAATATAACTGAAGAATACAAGCAGGTTAAACGTTGAGGAAATGGCTTTGAATGTTCGGGAATTGGTTTTATATACTGTTATATCTATATAACTATCACTACGCCATATGTGCCCGTGCGCAGGCGACCATAACATTGGGCTGCCTATGTTCATGCAATCGCCATTCGCAATAAACAAAACATTGATATGCGTTTTGCAAATCCTTATGCACTCTTTGAGTACCTATTTTTAAACTTGGCAATCTTTAAAAAGGGAATCGGGGAATGGGGGAATCAGGTAATGGCGGAACTCGAGAGAGGGAGAACTGAGGAGCAGGGGAATGGAGGAACTGAGGAGTGGAAGGAATGGGGAACAGGGGAATAGAGGAACTGAGGAGTGGAAGGAATGGGCAACAGGGGAATAGAGGAACTGAGGAGTGGAAGGAATGGGGAACAGGGGAATGGAGGAACTGAGGAGTGGAAGGAATGGGGAACAGGGGAATAGAGGAACTGAGGAGTGGAAGGAATGGGCAACAGGGGAATAGAGGAACTGAGGAGTGGAAGGAATGGGGAACAGGGGAATGGAGGAACTGAGGAGTGGAAGGAATGGGGAACAGGGGAATGGAGGAACTGAGGAGTGGAAGGAATGGGGAACAGGGGAATGGAGGAACTGAGGAGTGGAAGGAATGGGGAACAGGGGAATGGAGGAACTGAGGAGTGGAAGGAATGGGGAACAGGGGAATGGAGGAACTGAGGAGTGAAGGAATGGGGAACAGGGGAATGGAGGAACTGAGGAGTGGAAGGAATGGAGAACAGGGGCATGGAGGAACTGCAGAGTGGGAGAACTGGGTCACAGGGGGATGGGGAGCAGGGGCATGGAGGAACTGCGGAGTGGGAGGACTGGGTCACAGGGGGATGGGGAGCAGGGGCATGGAGGAACTGGGGGGCAGGAGAACAGAGGCACCAGTAAACCGGTGGAACATAGAAACAGGTGAGTGGAGGAACAAGAGATGGGGAGGCAGGGGAAAGGAGAATTCCTCTGTGGCTCTGTTCCCCAGTTCTCCTACTCCCCAGTCCCTACAAAGTAACAAAACTGTAAATACTACAATTTCTATTATTCATATGGATCTGATCACAATTATACATGTGTATAATGTATTATATAAAACATATTAGAAAGCAAAATGAAAATTATATACACAGAACAGTTTTTCGAGCAATGCTATTCCCATATAAGATATGTTCTGTTGCATTTTTCATTATATTTTGAATAGATATCACTATTCAATTGAAAATTTGCATGCCAACTAAATGAACACACTAGCTTATAGTTCCCACATGATTTTAAAAGCCACACAACAATACCATATGCTATCTATAGTTTTAATTTTTACTGAAAGGGATGAATATTACGATTTTTCACTGGGGTAAATCAAGTTTCACAATAACACTTGCCAGGTTGGCATTACGCAAAATAATAACAACAAATATATTTGTAATTAGGATCCTAGATGCAGAAAGTGATAATACTTCATACCCAACTATGATGTGCATAATATATACTAACAGTTGTTCCTTTAATTAGGTTCAAAACTATTAACATGAGATTTAACATTGCGTAAAATATGAATTACAGTGTGTTTTAAAAATTACTTGTTAAAAATTACTTCACTAATGAATCATACCTAATTTTAGTGTGCAGTGATAAACAATTTGTGCAGTGATAAAAAAAGAATGTGCAGTGATAATATAAGAAATGTGCAGTGATAAATGGTCTTTTCTCAACAGAACTCACTCTGTTGAGACGGATTCGTCAGTAACTGCCCCCCAAAATGCTGGAAATCAAGTCATAGGGACTTGAAAATACAGAAACTTTTCTGTGGCATGTACTGCAGACCCCCTACATCTCATCCATCTTTAAATTTCCAATTAGTACCAATTGTATAATCTACTATACCTGGTACTATTACCCGATACTGTAATCATATGTGCAGTGATAAAAAATTCTTAAAATTAGCTATGTAATGAATATAATGTCCTGCTTATTGCTAATAATGTGCATTGGTTAATAATATAATGTCCTGCTTATTGCTAATAATGTGCATTGGTTAAGAGCTAATAATGTGCATTGGTTAAGATTAAAATATCAAATTGAATCTATCTAGACTACCTACACAGTCTACACAGTAAGCCCTAATATTATTGGTTATATGTAACCAAACATCACAGTATAAGAATCTAAAAATATTATAGATGACAACAGCAGTTATCAACATTGGCTAGGGTAAAATATTGACTATATGAACAAAACATTATATATCTATATCTACTTATGTTATACAGGGTGTCTCAAAAAAAAGAAAACTCATTGAAATCACTCATTGTTAAAATTTGAATGCCGTGTGCACGAATTTTAGCCCGTGGGGATTTAATGCAACTCAGTAAAATGCTAAATGCTTTGTGTTGCTAGAGAAAGGGGACATGTCGAAGGTCATTGTGATTGAGATGCACATTTAAATATTGTTAATAAATATTATTTTCGCGTACGAGCAAATTTTACTGCATCATATGCATGCATAAAAATGCTTATGGCAAACATTTACACACCTGCGGGTCCCAACAGAGTGCTTAGGCATTCAAACTCTAACAATTACATTGCTATGCGTGATTTCAAAGGTTTTCGTTTTTTCTGAGACACCCTACATAACCTCCCCAGAATATCATATCTTCCTTACTACGGAACCCGATTGACCTTGCACGCCCGAGATTCAAACACACTTTTTTCGTGCTTGAAACGTGCACGTTTTATGCTCTAAACAAATTACATACACGTTTAATGCCCATATGTCCACGTTGCAGGGGGAAACTGTTACGTTTCTGAGCTGGCTGCCGCCAAATAAAGCCATTTTAACAACCATGCACTGAAGGGGTTCCTAGTTTTGACGCGTTTCGCGTTTCAAACTTATTCAGTATGGATCCTCGCCAAAAGACGTATTTTAGGTACACTGGACGAAGACCTTTTGATATATGAAGAAGAGTTGAAGAAACGAGGTTTTACTTCAATCGTTAACAGTTAAAGTATTTGGGAGAAAACTGAATAGTTTGACCTTAGAAAGGTCATAATTTCCCCCTAGAGACGTGTACGTTTCAAGTGTGAAACAAACGGGTTCGAATCGAGCGTGTGCAAGGTAAATCGAGTTCCGTAGTAAATTGCAGTGTTTTAGCGTGCATGGTACCTGATCAGCTCATCTCAAGCGTTAATAGGTTGTTTAGAATAGTAGGATTCATAGTTGAGCATTTAAACACTGATTTGCTTTAGCCTTCGTCCTCTTCATCCCCCGACGAATGCGAATTTTGAATTTCCTGGGATCAAAAGAATTTAATTACAAATGTCAACACTTCACTGGTTATGAATGCAAAGGAAATGAAAATGATACTGGTATCAGTTTTAGCTGTGCCAATAAATCGAGTGTAGTGTAAACGGGGTCATTTTTATACCACGATGTCAAATATTTTGTGTTTTCAGGGTGTTTAGATTTTCTACTTCTTATAGACTTACAACAGCTATTAAAGATGATGACCCAGCAAGTATGCAGAATTATCACGATGTTTTATTACCTCCATATTATATTCATTGTTGTCCATTTCATTTATTTTGTCGTCCATTTCATTTATTTTGTCGTTCATCTCAGATTGGGTTTGTTTCATATCATTAAATTGTTTCTAAATGATACATAAAAAATATTTTTGCTAAGCACATAGCTCTGGTGTGCGCCGGCCTTCATAAAATTGGGCACGGCTACAGACAATAAATTGAACTTAGTAAAAACGGGGCTAAATTTAATTGCAGGAAGAGGAATTTAAATCCATCTGCTCTGGGCTAAGTTACGATATGATTAATAAGCGTGGTGATAAAGGACAAAATAAGGGACAAAACAACTACCTAAATTAGAAAAAAGCACGAGAAGTGCTCAGGCAGTTGTTTTGCCACATTTGAAAACAAGACTTTCTATGTATTGGACATTGTGACTTTGAGGTCCAAAGAAATACAGTCACTGGAAACATGATATATTATTGTTTAGACTAGACTTAATAGTCGACTATATTTACCGGTCTTCATTCTATACTCAATTACCTTCATCTTCTTTACTTTATGATATAAATTATCATGTCTTCCTTTAATTTCCGTCATCTCCATACAAAAATTCTGGTGTTCGGTCATGTCTCTTCTATTAAATTGCAATGTACAAAACTCACACTGCTCAGGCCCGTATTCGCAGCCATTCTTGTGTGCATGTAAATTTTCAAGTTTAACTTGTTCAGAATACCCACGATCGACGTAGTCACACTTGATTATCAGTGCTGACAAATAGTTCCTCATAAACCTTTGGGGATATTTCAAAGTCGCTAGAGTAAGGGGTTCCCGACACTCTGGGCATGTTGCATTGATTTCAAGCCAATTTGATATACAATAAGAACAAAATGAGTGACTTCCATTTTCGCATAAACGTGGATTGTTTAGAACGTCATGGCAAACACAGCATAACAAATCGTCTTTTACTTCACCAATGAACCGTGATGGATCGTAACCGGGGCCCAACAATTCCAACATGTCCATTACACCTGAAACATGATTTCATTAAAAATTGAACTAATCATTTTTTTACACGACTTCTTGTGCAACAACACGTTTTGAAGATTTCACGGAGCGGACGTAGTTTTTACCTGGACGCAAGAAGCGGGTCAAGTGGACACAGGATGCAGTCAGACGCAGTAGCAAGCAATCTCGTTCCTTTAGCCCGGAATCGCGGGCTCAGGGAATGAGATTCGGGGTATAAGAAGTTATTTCTTGGCAGTGGTGTAAAAAAGGTTGAATGACGTAATGGAGATTATGTTCATGGTGAGAGAATTTTGTACACTCTTTCTGCGAAGTATTCGTATTTTAATATAGTACCATTTTTGATAACCCTATAGCTTACAATAGCGTTTTAATTATGTGTTCACTAGTGCAAACGATTCGTGTTGTGTTAGTGTTGCTTCACTGCTTCGTGTTCATATTGTGTATGACGTGTCAACACGCGACCGTCGAAAACAGTGAGATACAAGCAGCGATACCGATTCATATATTTCCCTCAGAGTTGTGAATGGTTAGGTAGACTGATTTGTCTGGCTAATTATAAACACTGATTAAGTCAATAAACTACCGAGTTCGTCACCTCCGACCATTCAGTAATCGAGTCCGCTATTAAGCCCATAGTGATTGATAACGAGGCTGAATTTAGAGACTTTCTGACTGATTTTATGCAAAATCACTAACAGCAAACTCTAAATTACTTCATTGAAATCGTAGACAAGGGTTAATTATAAAATTCAGTTTAAAAAGGGTCAAGAAGTTTTCAGAAGTTGCGATTTTAATGTTTATAATCTTCAGCAGTTTTTGAATTTTTCGCTTCCACAGACTGAAAGCGACTGATCATTCGGCTTAAACGTCACAAAGAGAATGAAATTTAACATACCCGAGTATACTGATACGTGGTTTACACTTTCAAATATTGAAGTTGGACCAAACGCCGTCAATAAGATTTTGCGCCTGAAAAGCAGTTAATGTTGTAATGTTTATTGTGTTAAATAAATCCCTTGATATCAACGTTTGTTTTTGAGGGGCTAAAAACATTGATAACAATAACATTTTTACTATCATGCTGCGAAAATTGTATTTTTCTCAGACATTTGCATTTTCTTGATGTTCTAGGTATTAACATATTCCAAGTTTTATCAATGAGCAACGTGGCAGCGTCTTCTAACGACGTCGTGTCAAATGTGGTATAACAACTGTCTAAAATAGAAAAAAAGCACTTCTCGACGTTTAACCTATATGGGCATTCGTCGGAGTAACGTGCGTGCTTTTGAAAGCATTTTTGTTTATTTTCGGCAGTTGTTATACCACATTTGATGTAAGATTCCAAGTAATATTAAATGGTTCAATGATTTATTTATCATCTCTTATGCAAGATTTACCAGACTTGGTTTCGGTTTTAACAATACCATTTCCAGCACCATGCCGCGAAGATTCATTTAACATTTTGAGAGACATTTTTATTGTACCTTTGATTGCAAATGTTGTTCCTTTGAATCAAATTATAGTTGGTCAAGGTAATTTAATTTTTCCTGATATTTGACTGAAGTTTAGCGCGTTTGGTTTAGTTTCATTTGGTTTTGCGTTTGTGAAATTATCTCGCTTAGCCGTGCTTGGTCAGTAGTACGCTAATTTCTGATCCGAAAATTTCAAGTCTTAACTTCCAAGTAATATTTAATGTTTCATTCAGATCAAGTTATCAACTACAAGATTTGTCAAAGTTAGTTTCGGTTTTGACAATACCATTTAAATCAAGCACCACGATTCTAGACTGCATTTGCATTCGTTATACGACCAGGAGCGTAGGACTGGGGGGGGAGAATAAAAGTAAGTGCCCGCCCCCCCCCCAATTTTTCAGCGGATCAAAATTGCTCCAGAATGGGCATTTTACAGGGCCTAGAGCAATCAAATTTCAGAAATTTTCTCGCGCCTCAACGCCACAGCCCCCCCCCCCGAACTCGAACAAATAAAATGCGGTGTGTTAATTGTACAGTATATCACTGCATACAAGTTTTTTAAAAGCAGCTCTCCATCTGAGTACCCCAAAATTAATATCGATCGCCGTGACTTGAGAATAATCAAACATAAAAAACTATTACGTCTATAATATTTAGACAAAAATTAAGGTTGATTGATATTGTTATATTTCATTACAAATTAACTGAATCATTAATGACTCATTAATACCACGTATAATAGTGTTATCACCGTGCACGCTAAACAAGATTACAATTATTATTGGCTGTAGAAATTACAGCTGCTTTCGCACCTGCTTTCAGCCAATGAAGAAATATAAAGAATCGCAACGAATATATATAATTAATCGCGTATTAAAAACACGCCTAATTTAAAACAAGTGCTTCTCAAATGTGCTTCGCAACATTGTTCCATGCTCGAAATTTCGAAGTTAAATAAAAAGAGCGAAAAACACCGAGACCCGACCAAATATACTAATTACGTCACAACATTATCGTTTTAAATAGTTTTACGTGCAAAGATGAAAAAAAATCGTTCTTCAACACATGAATGAAAAATCGAAATTCGATCCAAAAAAATCAATATCCCTCTGTATGACGTCACAACCAGTGAAATATGAAATTTAACCGTATTTTGAGATCTATTTGGAGGGTTTTGACCAATCAGAAACGAGAATACAGTATAAATTTATAAAAAGAGTTAATAATCGTTTTTTGTTGTTCCTTTGTTCCGATAATTTTCCTCCGCCTCATACGCCTATGACTTAGAGAAATGTATAGTTGTAAGGTTTCACAACAGCAGCTGCCCAACATCTTTCTTCTATCATTCCTGGCAGTTCTTCCCAGCCATTTCCACCAATGGTGAAGGTTTCCACTGAGTTGAGATATCCCTGCTCATTATTCCGTCCACCAAACACGAAAATGACGTCATCGATGATTACGGCAGAGCTGCCGTACCTTTTGTGCTGCATGGATGGTAACATCTCAGATCGCCCGGTCACCGTGTGATATGCGATGACGTCATTGACTGCACGGCCTCTCATATCCATGCCCCCGATAACGATAATAATCTCACCCCAAACGACCGAGGACATACGAGAAACCGGCTGAGGTAACGAAGGACAAGGCTTGAACTTATTCTCACCAAAATCATAAACGACAACCCTGCCAGTGGCATCTTTACTGCATCCGGTAGATGCTCCACCCAAGATAAAAAGCTTTCCATTAACAAGCTCTGCTCTGTGATGTCTTCTTTGCTCGGGCATTCTCGTCAGCAGCTCGACAGTAAAAGGTGGGGTAAGAGCAATCTGATAGATTTCGTCCAATGTTCTCCTTTCGTGCCAATTACACCCGCCTATTACATATAAATTTCCTTCATGGACAACGACATCGTGGCCAAATAATTTAACAGGCAGTTTTCCAAATATTGCGCATTGCAAAACATGTCGGCTCATCTTCAAAACCTTGATCTTGTCACTGTCACCTTCATCATCGACACCACCAATAGCAAGGATGCGATTGTCGTGAACACACAATGCCGACGATACCAAGGGTTGCTCCAATTGTTGCACAATTCTAGAGCTCCTCTCAACAATACAATACAGTTCAACAGTATTTGAAGAAGTAGTTTCGCTTTTACAACCATACCCACCAGAAAATATGATAATACCTGTTGCATTCCTTGCTAATAGATCATTTAGCACTCCTTTAAATCCCTCGCAATCTTGTTTAATCGTTAAAATATTCTCCTAAAATGTAAAATTTTAATTTTTAGTCATTACACTACCATAATGGTGTTATGGATGCTATGGTGTTATACCCAACCATAATGGTTGTAGATTTCAAACCGGAACTGTCATAACTTAGTTTAATGTTATGTTATTATATATAATGTTATGTTAATTCGCGGTATAAATAGTCGTTCACTATCAGTTTGATCATACGATACAAGATCCAAAGAGTCTCCACAATTCAAGAAGCGAACGATTTTCTACCGGACAGACAAATTAATCTGTAAGTTTCATGTATGTATTCGTATGGTCGTATTCGTACTTGTCGTATGGTACTTGTTCGTATTCCTCGTATTCGTACCGTACTAATCTCTGTAAATATTCGTTTAGTTGAACCGCTATATGATTAAAATTCTACGAGTTCAAAGTACACGTCTGGTTAAGACTGAGTCTAACAATGGTATTTGAACTTTGTGGTAGCAACATTTGGTCTGTGGAAAAAAACAAGCTCTGCATGAATGCATGCAGGGCAATAATTATGAGGATAAATGGTCAATAATTTTAAAATATTACCACTACCTCCATTTTATTCACTTTGTTTGTCTCAAGGTTTGTCGAAAGGTTTTGACGAGAATATTAGGAAAAGCGCTTGTTTTCTTCATTTTATTCACGTTTATTATATAATATGCAGTGTTGCTGGCGAATCTTTCGTTTTGAAAAGCTAAAATAACACATGTGCGACTATCGTGTTTGATCCCACAAAAAAAACTGGAAACGAAACTTGTTATTTAACGGCAGCCGGTAAATGACATAAAATAAAACTTGTTGTTAAATACATGCAAGATTTTATGCGCCTGCTTAAACATGTGGTGACTATTAAATCATGAAATCGGTTAAAACCATTAGTAAAAGCTGTTTCCTATTTGACTAGAAACATGGTTTCAAAAATGACCGGAAAAGTAAACGAAAATACCACAAAATATTCTAAATGTACAAAACGTCTAGAACGATAATCATGGGGGGGGGGAGGGTGAGGGTGAAGAGGTGTTTATTCACATATTCAGTATCAATAATCCCCCCTCAATTATCGCAGCAGTCGTACTAATTACCAATAGACCTTTTCCATAATAGACCAACTTACGATCTAGATAACAAGGAGGAAATAAATCACCACAGCTAAAAAGAGCATGCTAAAGTTAGTATAATTGCCAAGTTTGGCTGGAAAATGTCGAGTAGTATGGAAAATATAGCCATGCGAAGTTGGCAATTTTGTATATACTTTTTACTAGGGCCGGAAGCGTTTAAACTAATTTAGTTACACACTTCCGGCCGTATATACAAAAATGTGCCAACTTTGCATGGCTATATTTTCCGTACTTTACAATATTTTGCAGCCAAACTTTGTAATTTTACTAAATTTAGTATGCACTTTTCGGAAATTTCCTTTTTCTTGCCTAAAACAAAAGTTGGTCTATTATGCACATCACATGATTACCTTCGAATTACTACCTTATTTTTCGAAGATATGTGGCCCTCCTCACTTTTAGGGTATTTGAAACCGTCAGGACATTTTAATGATGGCAGAAAAAATTATGAAACAATTACCTTCATTTTCATAACTTCCATACGTACATCATCATCTTGACATTCATTAATTTTTGTCTCACCATTTTTCATTTTATGTTCGCATGTATTCGTGGAAGTATGACCTTCCTTGTACCCATTGGTGACTACCATCAGATCTTCCCCTTGCGAATTCTCCACCACTTGTGGTGCTTTCCCACGCATGTCTAGGGTTACGGGAAATTTTTCTTGTCTTTCAGACATAATCATCATCATAGTTGTCAACATATCCTTTATTTCCTTTTGATTCATTTTGATGTCCTTCAAGTCCTGAATATTGGAGCGATCAAACAGGCAGAAACTTTTATGGTAGTTTTCATCTCTTTTGTTCACCTCCTGGCCACAATTTCCACACGTAACTGGACGATATTCACAAACACTGACGTGATCGTCCAACATTTTAAGCTGAGTAAATATGGGACACCCTCGACTGTTGTAATCACACTTGATTCTCAGCTGCGACAAAATCTTCGGCAAAAAAAAATGGGGATGTTTCAAAGTTTTTTGAGTGAGATGTTGTTGACATTTCGGGCAGGATTGAGAATGGACAAGATATCCTTCAATACAACTCAGACAAAAGTAGTGCTCTTCTGCCTCGCATAATCGTGGATTGTTAAAAACACCGTGGCAAATATTGCATAGATAATCTTCGTTGACTGGATCAAGAAAGCGGTTTGGATCATAACCATAGGCCATTAGCAGTAATGTTCAAATTGAATCTGAAACATGAACATGATTACATTGAAAGTTAAACCCGGCTCTTTTATCATACATGCTGATTATTTCAAAGCTCGACAAACATAAATTCACAAGTGATGGGTAAAAAAGAATTAAAAACCATTAAAAACTCATTGAAATATGATGCAACTCGTAGTCTACGCTGATTGCCTGAGTTTGAGAACTCGATGCATTACAACATAAATAGATACCCATTTTTAGTGTCTAGGTTTACGCCGAAGAAGGATCGCGATATAGTGGCACGTCCGAACGAGATCGAGTAAAAACGAATTAAAAAAACTTGAATTCAAAACTGGAAGGAACGATTGAACTCTTTAAGTCTTTAAACCGCAAAACGAAACGGGGTTCTTAACAAGGGTGATTCAGAGAAAATCGAAAGGCATAAATAGATTCTGAGTAAGGTAGTAACGTGGATCGGGGAGTCTAAACGTGAAAGTAAACAGAGCAAATTTGGGAAAAGCGAATCACTTGAAGACGTAGAAGCGCGAGGCTGTTTAATTGAAGAAAATATTGACCGAGGCGTCACCAAAATAACACGGTTGCGAAATTATTTGAACGATGGCGAGTTTCAGAACAGTCTATCGTTTTGAAACAAATTTTAAGCAGAAATCGGCTCTTCGAACATGGCAGCGGTGAAAAAGTTTGCATACTTGAAGGAGCTCTTAGAATCGAAGCTGCGTAGAAAAATCGACGGTTTACAAATCTAAGAGAAAAGGCTACGACAGAGGCAACAATATCTTAAAGGCTGACTGAATACGGGAAGGTTAGTGAAATCGTAAATAAGTATATCGAAAATGTCATAGCTCTACCAGTTGTTGTGGGTTCTCATCTTTCAAAAGTGCATGAATTCTATCACTAACGAGCATATACATGAAAACTTTAACCCAAGGTCTTTAAAAGAAGACGTTGATCAGTTCAGAGAAGGAATTGTGGAAAAGGCAGATATGGCTCCTACCGGAAGAGAGTATTATATTCCACATATGGAATATATATATATATAATATATATATATATATATATTATATATATATATATATTATATATATAATATATATATATATATATATATATATATATATATATATATATAATATATATCGGCGGCATCGCGTGCTAAAATGGCGAATAAATATCGTGATGCGCCCAAATATGGACATGCCACGCCATTTACTCGCTATTTTCAAGTCGTCTTTGACGTTCACATCCTCATGCTAAATCTCCCTAATTTTGGAGCGTGCTACTTGTGTTGACCGCAATCGAAGAAGCTCTTTGAAAATTTATATATCACACAATATTTGACGTATCTATAGATGTTCTTGTCCGAAAGCTTTGCGAACGCTTGTCAAACTCAAAGACTCGGCGGCATCGCGTACAAACTAAAGCAAATGTATAAGCAACCTTACCTGATGCTTTATCGCGCCAAAACTGCTAGTACTTTGTGGAAACCTCGAAAAAATTTGTGGCAAAGCTCGCTTGAGAAATGAGAATAGCTGCCTGTTAACGTTTAGTATGACCAGTAACGTAACGTAGTGATGGGCGATACTTCGATACCAAGTATCGATACTCACCGATATTTATGATTTGCAGTAAATATCGATACTTGACCAAGTAGTTGCAAAATTTCGATACTGAGCCTACAGTATTTTAGGTCAGCGTTTTCCACCAAAAAGTATAAAAAATCTGATTTATTTTTTTTTGTTCGTCACTTTTTTGTTCCTTAGTTCTTTAATTATATGCTACCAATGAAAATAATTTCTGCCCATTTTTCATTTCGCGAAAAAACAAAGGGAAAAACCAAAAATGTGAGTGGATAAATGCACATTATGGTATGGTATATGAAATTACAAACGGTAAAAAACGGCTCAAATTTCTGGTATCGGTATCGAAATTTGGTATCGATACCACTACAAATTGTCTGGTATCGAAACGGTATCGTATCGATTTGAAAAAGCTGGTATCGCCCATCACTAACGTAACGACAACGTTAACTGCACCCAAATCTCAATATTCCTTAGCAGGAGCAGCGCAGTTCCTCAGGATTCATCCGAAATTTCCTATCTTACAGTATTCTCAATTCTCATTTTAATGATTAAAAATTTAAAATCCACAATGATTAAAGCCATGCTTGAAGTTCAAAGGAACTTGGTAAAGCCCATGTTTACGAGGCACTGCTATACTAGTTTAAAATTCCAAAAAATACTGAGTAATGGTTCCAAAAATTTCTTGAAATAGAATTCACTTGTTTAAGGAAAATTTGAATGACCGGAAGTGTTCGATAATCGATTTCGTCAATCGTCATTCGTCAAAGCGATTTGATTCATTTTAATTTTTAACACAAATAACATTATGTGCGTGGTGCCAGGGGCCGGTTGTATCAAGCCCGTTTAGTTTAAACGGCGGATAAGTTCAAAATAGAAAGCAAGTCTATCGTTGTATTCAACAAGCAAACTAAATGTTTTTAACCTTAATACAACGACACTGTTTACAACTACATATTCAGTGCATAATATTTAAGTTGACTCATTCAAGAGAGTTGTAAGAGTGTTATTTAATTTTGACTTATCCACCGTTTAAGCTAAACGGGCTTGATAAAACCAGCCCCAGTTGTCAAATGAAAAATTTCTGGGGACAGACTGAGATACCGTAAAACAATTTTCACTGATGTCGTGTGATTTGCAATGTATACAGGGGCAGAAAATCCGTTAAACTAAAGCCACTACAGTATAACTTGTTTGTCTTAAAGTTGTACAACTGTATAAAAATGGCATTTTAACTTTAAGTAATATATTACCCATACATGTGCAATGAAATAACATTAACTTTGTCAATAAATCTGATCTAGTAATATGTATTAATATATAGTAATATACATACTAATATACACACTAGTGTAAATACATTAAATACACGTCAATAGATTAAAGAGTTTATATGAAAGGCCTGTTGACACAGCAATGAATTTCTATACATATAGACATAAAACATTTGCTGGGCAAGTTGAATGTTTCTGAATGTATTGCAAGTATTTCATTTATGAATTGTGCAAATGGTAGCTATTTACTGACTGCAAATGTGTGTCATGGGATTATGCAGGCAAACAGAAAGCAATATGGGTAGTTTTCTCAACAGAAATCTCTACTGAATATTATGCCTCCTTTCATTTAGCAGTAAAAACCAATCATGGTATTGCAGTTTTCCTTGTAAAAACTATGGGTTAGTTCATTTAGTAGGAAAGTACTCAAATCATTAGTAATATTGACTGACTTTAAATAACTTATTTATCAGAAATACATAGTTGTTCTAATGCTCCTTATAGCTTCCTGTCATCCATTTAAGGTTGCTCTGTACAGCTATTATGTTATAGCATGCTTCCTATACAAAAAGCGCCACATTTTTTGTTGTTTTTTGAAATACAACCTAACCAGTAAGTACTTCATTGCAAAAAAACAGTGGAGATCACTAAATGACATGTTATTTTCAAACCGGTTGCTTCCAACCAAAACTTCTAAGAATATGATATGTTGCAGGGTGCTAAGCAAATAAAAAATCGACCAATACATATATACACTATATCCCCACCTGTCCTGCCCAACCCTTCTCAACCCCCATGTTTCTCAAATACAGAGAAAGTTCAGTTCTTTTAGGAATTTTTTGTGAAAGTAGGCCACATCTGGGTGCATTGCAAGCTAATAGGTTAACAAGAGACACTGACAGATAGTTTTGTTAACTTATTAACTGACAGTACTCTTCCACTGATGAGTAAAATCATCTGACATTAGACAGAGTAAAATACTAAAGTAGGTCACATCTGAGTGCATTGCAAGCTAATAGGTTAACAAGAGACACTGACAGATAGTTTTGTTAACTTATTAACTGACAGTCCTCTTCCACTGATGAGTAAAATCATCTGACATTAGACAGAGTAAAATACTAAAGTAGGCCACATCTGGGTGCATTGCAAGCTAATGGGTTAACAAGAGACACTGACAGATAGTTTTGTTAACTTATTAACTGACAGTGCTCTTCCACTGATGAGTAAAATCATCTGGCATTAGACAGAGTAAAATAATAAAGTTGGCCACATCTGGGTGCATTGCAAGCTAATGGGTTAACAAGAGACACTGACAGATAGTTTTGTTAACTCATTAACTGACAGTACTCTTTCACTGATGAGTAAAATCATCTGGCATTAGACAGAGTAAAATACTGAAGTAGGCTACATCTGGGTGCACTGCAATCTAATAGGTTAAATAATCAGTTTGTAGTACCACCACATTTTATACAAAGCTATAAAGATTCAGGTTAATGGACTGAAATCTCTGCATATAATGATGATTTAATAAATTGGCCAGAATATTACTAGTGCATAAGTTGTTTCCATAAAATATGATTTATATAGTTAGTAATTAACTGATGTGAACCAAATGCTAAAATCATTATTTTTCATATCAAGGGTAGAGAGAGCCAACCCCAATGCAGAGCCTGAGATAGTGACTAAGTGCCGCTTCTGAGCACTTCATCCCTGGGCACAGAATACCCATCAGAAGGACAACTCCATTGTTTTTTGTGTAAGTGTGATTAATCATGATTTGTCACTCGATCAGCAAGTACCGTAGATAAAAGCAACCACCCCCCTGCCAACATTTAAATTTTGGTCCACATAAACTAAGGATGCCCTACTTCATACAGTTTTAGCACGAGTATCCGTATATGACCTGTTGCCGTGTGAGTTAGTATGAAATACTCAGGATGCTAATATAATTTTGATTTAATATAATTTGTTTCACATAGAAATTCGTGGATACAATCAAAAGTTTGAAGAGATGTTCTCTTGAGAGCATAAAGCAAGACTGTATGCTTACACAATGCACAATGCTTAATTAAGGAGTGTTAAGCAAGAAGTGATAATGGCTATAAATATGTACAAGTGTTGCTGCCAAGAGGAAATATAAGGTAAATAATATTTGCGGCGTAAAGATTAAACTAGGCAAGTCTTATTTCCTAACAGAATTATAAACTATAATCTAGGCGAGGAGGTTATATCCTAAAAAATTATACAAATATGTTGTTAAAAGTTCCTTGCGCGCCGTCCGGAAACCACGTAATATGCGCAAAGTTATTTGGTGAGAAGGCGCTACACAGTAAAAATGGCCATACCAGCCCTGTTGTATTTTAGTACAGACAGATTACTGGTATTTTAGATTGTATCAAGAACTGTGCATTCAAGCATTGCATGTTGCTATTTACATCTGCTAAGCATGGAAAATGTAGTTTCACTAGAGTACTCTTAATGAAATACTCAATTTCAATAACCGGTTTGACCACTTGAAAGAATGGCGCACATCATCTGCTAAATTTTCCAACTTTAGCATTTAGAAACAACTAATTTGCAAGAAGCTTGATAGAGTTCAAAAATTTGTTTGATATCATGTGTTTATGTATTTACTGTAATCATACACTGTTGTGATAATATTGCTGCAAAAATCTACATGTGGTTTGATATGTATAGTATTACTACAATATGTACATAGTTATTATGATTGTAGGTCATAATATAGGTTGAAAAGAACTTCAACTGTCAGGATATGTTTGGTGTATAAGAGTATATTAAGTCAGAGCAAGCCCTAACCGGCTAACCCTGATTTTTGTGCCTGTTGTGTTAATTCTATACTGAAATTCTATCAGTAATGTTACAAATGTCGAGTGAAAGTAGCAATTATTACAGTTGGCTTCAACAAATTCACAATCACACCTCTTTCAAAATAACAATAAAGATAGCAATAGTTTACATACCGAAATAAGATCCTCGATGAATTTGCAGAATTCAAGGTTTCTGGCACCAAATGTCGAAGAGCAATTAAAGAAAACAGACGACGTTCCTGCAACAGATCAGCACATCTTCGCGGCACTGTCGAGCCCACTTCGGAAACACGAGATTTTACGAAGATAGGCAGTGTGACCGATCCATCATGGTATAGATTATGCAGCTGAGCTCATTCAATATTTCCACCACTGAAGGTTATTGTATCTGCGTAGAAGGGCCGATTGTTCGAACTTCGAAAGTCGTTTAGCTTAAACGGTGGATAAGTTCAAAATGGAAAACAAAAGTATCTAATACTTTTATTCAACAACTGAGCTGAAATATTTCGATGTAAATAGCTTAATTTTCAATGGAAGAACGTCTTAAAAACACAATATGTAGTTTCAGTCATTCATAAGGTGCATGAGAGTATTTTTAAACTTGGCTATCTTTAAAAAGGGAATCGCAGAATGCCATTCATTTCCCCAGGGGGAAATCAGGTAATATATCATTAATCGCGTAATAATAACACGCCTAATCATAGGCAGCCCGGTCAATGCGGGTACCGCATACCACCTTATGTATATAATTATCCTAAGGCTGGCAACTCTCTGACAAAAAATATACTACATACATTAATACCATCGCTTGAAACACAAAAATTACGCTAGTTTCTTGAAATAAAAACGAGATATAAAAACCTTGGATATATTCACTACATTTATCTGTCATATTTAGACTTGAAAACAATTTAAAAATGCTTAAATTTTGCAAATAAAAAGTGTATTTTTATCGAAATTTTGTTTTAAACAGAGGCGGGATGCAATTTACTCGACAAACGTCATCATCGGAAAAATCGTCGGCAAATTTCTGATTGGCTATTGAAAGTTCGGAAAAATCACGAAGGCCAATTCAATGAAGAAAAAATGTCTTCGTGATTTTCCGAACTTTCAACAGCCAATCAGAAATTTGCCGACGATTTTTCCGATGATGACGTTTGTCGAGTAAATTGCATCCCACCTATGTTTAACAAAATTTCGATAAAAATACACTTTTTATTTGCAAAATTTAAGCATTTTTAAGTTTTAAGTCTAAAAATGACAGATAAATGTAGTAAATATATCCAAGGTGTTTTGTATCTAATTTTTTTTAAGAAACTAGCGTAATTTTTTGTTTCAAGCGATGGTGTTAATTTATGTATTATATTTTTTGTGAGAGAGTTGCCGCATTGACTGGGCTGCCTATGGCCTAGTTCAAACAACAAATACTTCGCAACATTTTTCCGTTTTCGAAATTTCGAAGTTAAATAAAAAGAGCGAAAAACACCGAGACCCGAACAAATATACTAATTGCGTCACAACATTATCGTTTTAAATAGTTTTACGTGCAAAGATGCAAAATGTTGACTATATGAACAAAATATTATATATCTATATCTACTTATGTTATATGACCTCCCCAGAAGATGATATCTTCCTTAAATTGCAGTATTTTATCGTGCATGGTACCTGATCAGCTCATCTCAAGCGTTAATAGGTTGTTTAGAATAGTAGGAATCATATAGTTGAGCATTTTAACAATGATTTCTTTTAGCCTTCTTGCTCTTCATCCCCCGACGAGTGCGAATTTTGAATTACCTGCGATCAAAAGAATTTACTAATGTCAACACTTCACTGGTTATGAATACAAAGGCCAGGTACAGGGGACTAATTAAAATGATACTGGTATTAGTTTTAGCTGTGCCAATAAATCGAGTGTAGTGTAAACGAGGTCATTTGTATACCACGATGTCAAAAATTTTGTACTTTCAAGGTGTTTAGATTTTCTACATCTTAGCAGCTATTAAAGATTTAAAGATAATGACCCAGCAATTATGCAGAATTATCATGATATTTTATTACCTCCATATTATATTCATTGTCGTCCATTTCATTTATTTTTTCGTCCATTTCATTTATTTTGACTTTCATCTCAGATTGGGTTTGTTTCATATCATTAAATTGTTTCTAAATGATACATAAAAAATATTGAAACATTGCCGGTATTTAATATACACGTACTTACACGTAGCGTAAAAACCGCACACGACAGCAACTGACTTACGCCAATGGCCATTTTTTGCTACTGAAGCACATAGCTCTGGTGTGCGCCGGCTTTTATAAAATTGGGCACGGCTACAGCCAATAAATTGAGCGCAGTGAAAACGGGCCAAATTTAATTGCAGGAAGAGAAATTTAAATCTATCTGCTCTGGGCTAAGTTACGATATGACTAAAAAGCGTGGTAATAAAGGAACAAAACATGAAAACAACCACCTAAATTAGAAAAAAGCACGAGAAGTGCTCAGGCAGTTTTTTGCCACATTTGAAATCAAGACTTTCTATATATTGGGCATGTGACTTTGAGGTCCAAAGAAATACAGTCACTGGAAACATGATATATTATTGTTTAGACTAGACTTAATAGTCGACTATGTTTACCAGCCTTCATTCTATACTCAATTACCTTCATCTTCTTTACTTTATGATATAAATTATCATGTCTTCTTTTAATTTCCGTCATCTCCATACAAAAATTCTGGTGTTCGGCCATGTCTCTTCTATTAAATTGCGATTTACAAAACTCACACTGCTCAGGCCCGTATTCGCAGCCATTCTTGTGTTTATGTAAATTTTCAAGTTTAACTTGTTCAGAACACCCACGATCGACGTAGTCACACTTGATTATCAGTGCTGACAAATAGTTCTTCATAAACCTTTGGGGATATTTCAAAGTCGCTAGAGTAAGGGGATCCCGACACTCTGGGCATGTTGCATTGATTTCAAGCCAATTTGATATACAATAAGAACAAAATGAGTGACTTCCATTTTCGCATAAACGTGGATTGTTTAGAACGCCATGGCAAACACAGCATAACAAATCGTCTTTTACTTCACCAATGAACCGTGATGGATCGTAACCGGGGCCCGTTTCGAGCAATTCCAACATGTCCATTACACCTGAAACATAATTTCATTAAAAGTTGAACTAATCATTTTTTTACACGACTTCTTGTGCAACAACACGTTTTGAAGATTTCACGGAACGGACGTAGTTTTTACCTGGACGCAAGAAGCGGGTCAAGTGGACACAGGATCGATGCAGTAGACGCAGTAGCAAGCAATCTCGTTCCTCTAGCCCGAATCGCGGGCTCAGGGAATGAGATTCGGGATATAAGAAGTTTTCTTGGCAGTGGTGTAAAAAAGGTTGAATGACGTAATAAAGATTATGTTCATGGTGAAAGAATTTTGTACACTCTTTCTGCGAAGTATTCGTATTTTAATATATATAGTATCATTTTTTGATAACCCTATACTTACATAGCGTTTTTTGATTATGTGTTCACTAGTGCAAACGATTCGTGTTGTGTTAGTGTTCACTGCTTCGTGTTCATATTGTGTATGACGTGTCAACACGCGACCGTCGAAAACAGTGAGATACAAGCAGCGATACCGATTCATATATTTCTCTCAGTTTTGTGAATGGTTAGGTAGACTGATTTGTCTGGCTAATTATAAACACTGATTAGGTCAATAAACTACCGAGTTCGTCACCTCCGACCATTCAGTAATCGAGTTCGCTATTAAGCCCATAGTGATTGATAACGAGGCTGAATTTAGAGACTTTCTGACTGATCTTTTGCAAAATCGCTAACAGCAAACTCTAAATTACTTCATTGAAATCATAGACAAGGGTTAATTATAAAATTCAGTTTAGAAAGGGTCAAGAAGTTTCCAGAAGTCGCGATTTTAATGTTTATAATCTTCAGCAGTTTTTGAAGGTTTCGCTTCCACAGACTGAAAGCGAATGATCATGCGGCTTAAACGTCACAAAGAGAATGAAATTTAACATACCCGAGTATATATACGTGGTTTACACTTTCAAAGATTGAAGTTGGACCAAACGCCGTCAATAAGATTTTGCGCCTGAAAAGCAGTTAATGTTGTAATGTTTATTGTGTTAAGGTGGCTCAGTACAGTTTTCAAGAATTCAATTGTTCATCACTTTGACATGTTCAAACAACGCATTTTTGTGATTTATTCCAGAGATATTCGGGTTTTTATATATTTTGATGTCTCTACTTTTGAATCGTATTAGTTTTAGTAACAGATCGTCCGTTGCTATGGCGACATACGCGTACAAAATTCACTCCAAAATGACCAATTGCCTCGGATAGTTGGAAAACAAGCACGGTTGACCCCAATTTTTTTTCGTCCATTATTTTACTTGGAAGAAAAACTAACAATTGGCAAAATATAAAAAAATTCTATAATACCAAATTTTTGAAAAATGTAAAAATGACATTTTTTTCAATAATTTTTTTTTGCTATTATAGAATTTTTTATATTTTGCTAATTGTTAGTTTTCCTTCCAAGTAAAATATTGGACGAAAAAAAATTGGGGTCACCGTGCTTGTTTTCCAACTATCCCAGGCAATTTGCCATTTTGGAGTGAATTTTGTACACGTATGTTGCCATAGCAACGGATGATTTGTTACTAAAACTAATACGATTCAAAAGTAGAAACATCAAAATATATAAAACCCCCAATATCTCTAGAATAAATCACAAAAATGCGTTGTTTGAACGTGTCAAAGTGATGAACGATGGAATTTTTGAAAACTGTATCCAGCCACCTTAAATAAATCCCTTTATATCAACGTTTGTTTTTGAAATCGTTATAAAGGGCTAAAAACATTAATAACAATAACATTTTTACTATCATGCTGCGAAAATTGTATTTTTCTCAGACATTTGCATTTTCTTGATGTTCTAGGTGTTAACATATTCCAAGTTTTATCAATGAGCAACGTGGCAGCGTCTTCTAACAACGTCGTGTCAAATGTGGTATAACAACTGTCTAAAATAGAAAAAAAAACACTTCTCGATGTTTAACCTATATGGGCATTCGTCGGAGTAACGTGCGTGCTTTTAAAAGCATTTTTGTTATTTCAGGCAGTTGTTAAACCACATTTGATGTAAGATTTGAAGTAATATTTAATGGTTCATTGATTTATTTATCATCTCTTATGCAAGATTTACCAGACTTGGTTTCGGTTTTAACAATACCATTTCCAGCACCATGCCGCGAAGATTCATTTACATTTTGAGAGACTCGTTTGCATATTTATTGTTCCTTTGATTGCAAATGTTGTTCCTTTGAATCAAAGATTATAGTTGGTCAAGGTAATTTAATTTTTCCTGATATTTGACTGAAGTTTAGCGCGTTTGATTTAGTTTCATTCATTTGGTTTTGAGTTTGTGAAATTATATCGCTTAGCCGAAATTTTCTCGCGCCCCCCCCCCCGAACTCGAACTAAATAAAATGCGGTGTGTTAATTGTACAGTATATCACTGCATACAAGTTTTTTAAAAGCAGCTCTCCATCAGAGTACCCCAAAATTAATATCGATCGCCGTGACTTGAGAATAATCAAACATAAAAAACTATTACGTCGATAATATTTAGACAAAAATTAAGGTTGATTGATATTGTTATATTTTAATACAAATTAACTGAATACATTAATGGCTCATTAATACCACGTATAACAGTGTTACCACCGTGCAGGCTAAACAAGATTACAATCATTATTGGCTGTAGAAATGAAAAGCTCAGATCGCACCTGCTTTCAGCCAATGAAGAAATATAAAGAATCGCAAAGAATATAATTAATCGCGTAATAATAACACGCCTAATCATAGGCAGCCCGGTCAATGCGGGTACCGCATACCATCTTATGTATATAATTATCCTAAGGTTGGTAACTCTCTGACAAAAAATATAATACATACATTAATGCCATCGCTTGAAACACAAAAATTACGCTAGTTTCTTGAAAAAAAACGAGATATAAAAACCTTGGATATATTCACTACATTTATCTGTCATATTTAGACTTGAAAACAACTTAAAAATGCTTAAATTTTGCAAATAAAAAGTGTATTTTTATCGAAATTTTGTTTTAAACAGAGGCGGGATGCAATTTACACGACAAACGTCATCATCGGAAAAATCGTCGGCAAATTTCTGATTGGCTGTTGAAAGTTCGGAAAAATCATGAAGGCCAACTCAATGAAGAAAAATTGTCTTCGTGATTTTCCGAACTTTCAACAGCGAATCAGAGATTTGCCGACGATGACGTTTGTCGAGTAAATTGCATCCCGCCTATATTTAACAAAATTTCGATAAAAATACACTTTTGATTTGCAAAATTTAAGCATTTTTAAGTTTTAAGTCTAAAAATGACAGATTAATGTAGTAAATATATCCAAGGTGTTTTGTATCTAATTTTTTTTTAAGAAACTAGCGTAATTTTTGTGTTTCAAGCGATGGTGTTAATTTATGTATTATATTTTTCGAGAGAGTTGCCGCATTGACTGGGTTGCCTATGGCCTAGTTAAAACAACAAATGCTTCGCAAATGTACTTCGCAACATTGTTCCGTTCTCGAAATTTCGAAGTTAAATAAAAAGAGCGAAAAATTGCGTCACAACATCATCGTTTTAAATAGTTTTACGTGCAAAGATGCAAAAAAAATCGTTCTTCAACAAATGCATGAAAAATCGAAGTTCGATCCAAAAAAATCAATATCCCTCGCTATGACGTCACAACCGGTGAAAATGTGAAATTCAACCGAATATTGAGATTTATTTGGAGGGTTTTGACCAATCAGGAACGCGAATACAGTAGAAATTTATAAAAAGAGTTAATAATCGTTTTTTGTTGTTCCGTTGTTCCGATAATTTTCTTCCGCCTCATACGCCTATGACTTAGAGAAATGTATAGTTGTAAGGTTTAACAACAGCAGCTGCCCAACATCTTTCTTCTATCATTCCTGGCAGTTCTTCCCAGCCATTTCCACCAATGGTGAAGGTTTCCACTGAGTTGAGATATCCCTCCTCATATTCCGTCCGCCAAACACGAAAATGACGTCATCGATGATTACGACAGAGCTGCCGTACCTTTTGTGCTGCATGGATGGTAACATCTCAGATCGCCCGGTCACCGTGTGATATGTGATGACGTCATTGACTGCACGGCCTCTCATATCCATGCCCCCGATAACGATAATATTCTCACCCGAAGTAACCGAGGACATACGAGAAACCGGCTGAGGTAACGACGGACAAGGCTTGAACTCATTCTCACCAAAATCGTAAACGACAACGCTGTCAGTGGCATCTTTACTACGTCCGGTAGATGCTCCGCCCAAGATAAACAGCTTTCCATTAACAAGTTCTGCTCTGTGATGTCTTCTTTGCTCGGGCATTCTCGTCAGCAGCTCGACAGTAAAAGGTGGGGTAAGAGCAATCTGATAGATTTCGTCCAATGTTCTCCTTTCGTGCCAATTACACCCGCCTATTACATATAAATTTCCTTCATGGACAACGACATCGTGGCCAAATAATTTAACAGGCAGTTTTCCAAATATTGCGCATTGCAAAACATGTCGGCTCATCTTCAAAACCTTGATCTTGTCACTGTCACCTTCATCATCGACACCACCAATAGCAAGGATGCGATTGTCGTGAACACACAATGCCGACGATACCAAAGGTTGCTCCAATTGTTGCACAATTCTAGAGCTCCTCTCAACAATACAATACAGTTCAACAGTATTTGAAGAAGTAGTTTCGCTTTTACAACCATACCCACCAGAAAATATGATAATACCTGTTGCATTCCTTGCTAATAGATCATTTAGCACTCCTTTAAACCCCTCGCAATCTTGTTTACTCGTTAAAATGTTCTCCTAAAATGTAAAATTTTAATTTTTAGTCATTACACTACCATAATGGTGTTATGGTATGCTATGGTGTTATATCCGACCATAATGGTTGTAGATTTCAAACCGGAACTGTCATAACTTAGTTTAATGTTATGTTATGATATATAATGTTATGTTAATTCGGGGTATAAATAGTCGTTCACTATCAGTTTGATCATACGATACAAAGTTCCACTAAGAGTCTCCACAATTCAAGAAGCGAACGATTTTCTACCGGACAGACAAATTAATCTGTAAGTTTCATGTATGCATTCGTATGGTTTACTTGTTCGTATTCGTATTGGTCGTATTCGTACCGTACTAATCTCTGTAAATATTCGTTCAGTTGAACCACTATATGATTAAAATTCTACAAGTTCAAAGTACACGTCTGGTTAAGACTGAGTCTAACAATGGTATTTGAACTTTGTGGTAGCAACATTTGGTCTGTGGAAAAAAACAAGCTCTGCATGAATGCATGCAGGGCAATAATTGTGAGGATAAATGGCCAATAATTTTAAAATATTACCACTACCTCCATTTTATTCACTTTGTTTGTCTCAAGGTTTGTCGAAAGGTTTTGACGAGAATATTAGGAAAAGCGCTTGTTTTCTTCATTTTATTCACGTTTATTATATAATATGCAGTGTTGCTGGCGAATCTTTCGTTTTGAAAAGCTAAAATAACACATGTGCGACTATCGTGTTTGATCCCACAAAAAAAACTGGAAACGAAACTTGTTATTTAACGGCAGCCGGTAAATGACATAAAATAAAACTTGTTGTTAAGTACATGCAAGATTTTATGCGCCTGCTTAAACATGTGGTGACTATTAAATCATGAAATCGGTTAAAACCATTAGTAAAAGCTGTTTCCTATTTGACTAGAAACATGGTTTCAAAAATGACCGGAAAAGTAAACGAAAATACCACAAAATATTCTAAATGTACAAAACGTCTAGAACGATAATCATGGGGGGGGGGAGGGTGAGGGTGAAGAGGTGTTTATTCACATATTCAGTATCAATAATCCCCCCTCAATTATCGCAGCAGTCGTACTAATTACCAATAGACCTTTTCCATAATAGACCAACTTACGATCTAGATAACAAGGAGGAAATAAATCACCACAGCTAAAAAGAGCATGCTAAAGTTAGTATAATTGCCAAGTTTGGCTGGAAAATGTCGAGTAGTATGGAAAATATAGCCATGCGAAGTTGGCAATTTTGTATATACTTTTTATAGGGCCGGAAGCGTTTAAACTAATTTAGTTACACACTTCCGGCCGTATATACAAAAATGTGCCAACTTTGCATGGCTATATTTTCCGTACTTTACAATATTTTGCAGCCAAACTTTGTAATTTTACTAAATTTAGTATGCACTTTTCGGAAATTTCCTTTTCTTGCCTAAAACAAAAGTTGGTCTATTATGCACATCACATGATTACCTTCGAATTACTACCTTATTTTTCGAAGATATGTGGCCCTCCTCACTTTTAGGGTATTTGAAACCGTCAGGACATTTTAATGATGGCAGAAAAAATTATGAAACAATTACCTTCATTTTCATAACTTCCATACGTACATCATCATCTTGACATTCATTAATTTTTGTCTCACCATTTTTCATTTTATGTTCGCATGTATTCGTGGAAGTATGACCTTCCTTGTACCCATTGGTGACTACCATCAGATCTTCCCCTTGCGAATTCTCCACCACTTGTGGTGCTTTCCCACGCATGTCTAGGGTTACGGGAAATTTTTCTTGTCTTTCAGACATAATCATCATCATAGTTGTCAACATATCCTTTATTTCCTTTTGATTCATTTTGATGTCCTTCAAGTCCTGAATATTGGAGCGATCAAACAGGCAGAAACTTTTATGGTAGTTTTCATCTCTTTTGTTCACCTCCTGGCCACAATTTCCACACGTAACTGGACGATATTCACAAACACTGACGTGATCGTCCAACATTTTAAGCTGAGTAAATATGGGACACCCTCGACTGTTGTAATCACACTTGATTCTCAGCTGCGACAAAATCTTCGGCAAAAAAAAATGGGGATGTTTCAAAGTTTTTTGAGTGAGATGTTGTTGACATTTCGGGCAGGATTGAGAATGGACAAGATATCCTTCAATACAACTCAGACAAAAGTAGTGCTCTTCTGCCTCGCATAATCGTGGATTGTTAAAAACACCGTGGCAAATATTGCATAGATAATCTTCGTTGACTGGATCAAGAAAGCGGTTTGGATCATAACCATAGGCCATTAGCAGTAATGTTCAAATTGAATCTGAAACATGAACATGATTACATTGAAAGTTAAACCCGGCTCTTTTATCATACATGCTGATTATTTCAAAGCTCGACAAACATAAATTCACAAGTGATGGGTAAAAAAGAATTAAAAACCATTAAAAACTCATTGAAATATGATGCAACTCGTAGTCTACGCTGATTGCCTGAGTTTGAGAACTCGATGCATTACAACATAAATAGATACCCATTTTTAGTGTCTAGGTTTACGCCGAAGAAGGATCGCGATATAGTGGCACGTCCGAACGAGATCGAGTAAAAACGAATTAAAAAAACTTGAATTCAAAACTGGAAGGAACGATTGAACTCTTTAAGTCTTTAAACCGCAAAACGAAACGGGGTTCTTAACAAGGGTGATTCAGAGAAAATCGAAAGGCATAAATAGATTCTGAGTAAGGTAGTAACGTGGATCGGGGAGTCTAAACGTGAAAGTAAACAGAGCAAATTTGGGAAAAGCGAATCACTTGAAGACGTAGAAGCGCGAGGCTGTTTAATTGAAGAAAATATTGACCGAGGCGTCACCAAAAAACACGGTTGCGAAATTATTTGAACGATGGCGAGTTTCAGAACAGTCTATCGTTTTGAAACAAATTTTAAGCAGAAATCGGCTCTTCGAACATGGCAGCGGTGACAAAGTTTGCATACTTGAAGGAGCTCTTAGAATCGAAGCTGCGTAGAAAAATCGACGGTTTACAAATCTAAGAGAAAAGGCTACGACAGAGGCAACAATATCTTAAAGGCTGACTGAATACGGGAAGGTTAGTGAAATCGTAAATAAGTATATCGAAAATGTCATAGCTCTACCAGTTGTTGTGGGTTCTCATCTTTCAAAAGTGCATGAATTCTATCACTAACGAGCATATACATGAAAACTTTAACCCAAGGTCTTTAAAAGAAGACGTTGATCAGTTCAGAGAAGGAATTGTGGAAAAGGCAGATATGGCTCCTACCGGAAGAGAGTATTATATTCCACATATGGAATATATATATATATATATATATATATATATATATATATATATATATATATATATATATATATATATATATATATATATATATACTCGGCGGCATCGCGTGCTAAAATGGCGAATAAATATCGTGATGCGCTCAAATATGGACATGCCACGCCATTTACTCGCTATTTTCAAGTCGTCTTTGACGTTCACATCCTCATGCTAAATCTCCCTAATTTTGGAGCGTGCTACTTGTGTTGACCGCAATCGAAGAAGCTCTTTGAAAATTTATATATCACACAATATTTGACGTATCTATAGATGTTCTTGTCCGAAAGCTTTGCGAACGCTTGTCAAACTCAAAGACTCGGCGGCATCGCGTACAAACTAAAGCAAATGTATAAGCAACCTTACCTGATGCTTTATCGCGCCAAAACTGCTAGTACTTTGTGGAAACCTCGAAAAATTTGTGGCAAAGCTCGCTTGAGAAATGAGAATAGCTGCCTGTTAACGTTTAGTATGACCAGTAACGTAACGACAACGTTAACTGCACCCAAATCTCAATATTCCTTAGCAGGAGCAGCGCAGTTCCTCAGGATTCATCCGAAATTTCCTATCTTACAGTATTCTCAATTCTCATTTTAATGATTAAAAATTTAAAATCCACAATGATTAAAGCCATGCTTGAAGTTCAAAGGAACTTGGTAAAGCCCATGTTTACGAGGCACTGCTATACTAGTTTAAAATTCCAAAAAATACTGAGTAATGGTTCCAAAAATTTCTTGAAATAGAATTCACTTGTTTAAGGAAAATTTGAATGACCGGAAGTGTTCGATAATCGATTTCGTCAATCGTCATTCGTCAAAGCGATTTGATTCATTTTAATTTTTAACACAAATAACATTATGTGCGTGGTGCCAGGGGCCGGTTGTATCAAGCCCGTTTAGTTTAAACGGCGGATAAGTTCAAAATAGAAAGCAAGTCTATCGTTGTATTCAACAAGCAAACTAAATGTTTTTAACCTTAATACAACGACACTGTTTACAACTACATATTCAGTGCATAATATTTAAGTTGACTCATTCAAGAGAGTTGTAAGAGTGTTATTTAATTTTGACTTATCCACCGTTTAAGCTAAACGGGCTTGATAAAACCAGCCCCAGTTGTCAAATGAAAAATTTCTGGGGACAGACTGAGATACCGTAAAACAATTTTCACTGATGTCGTGTGATTTGCAATGTATACAGGGGCAGAAAATCCGTTAAACTAAAGCCACTACAGTATAACTTGTTTGTCTTAAAGTTGTACAACTGTATAAAAATGGCATTTTAACTTTAAGTAATATATTACCCATACATGTGCAATGAAATAACATTAACTTTGTCAATAAATCTGATCTAGTAATATGTATTAATATATAGTAATATACATACTAATATACACACTAGTGTAAATACATTAAATACACGTCAATAGATTAAGAGGAGATTTTTTACAAACTCGCGTATTGAGCGCTCAAAACCAATCAGATTGCTGGAAGTTGATAGAAGCAATTCCATGTAAACATGGCGGCCGGATTTCAAATAGTATGAGTGTTTCAGTGCCGTTTTCACAACCATAACTCTCGGAAAGTTATGCAATTTAACAGAAAATGAAAAGCATGTGATCATCTAAAGATATGAAACTCCTAGACAAAATGGATTCACTGTTTGCCAAATAATTAAGGACGGTGGAATGTTATACAAGAGTTCGCTATGATTGCAGTTCATAGAAGTTAGGATTGTATGATGATCATTTTACTGTTTTTTTAGCTAGGTAACTGCCTGTGATCACAATGAATAAAATATAATGTAATCCTTTGACATATCAGTGTTCAAAAATTGCAGTTTCGTGGAACTTTTAGTGCCTAATCTTATTAATATACCATCTTATTTTACAAACAATTCAATATTGGAATTGCCATTGGGAAAATGTATTACAATCAGCACTTTTGACCGTATATCTTAAATATTAGACGGAAATACTGTATTGTACGTGATTTTCTTTTGCAATAGATGTATGTTATGTAAAAGCATGCATTAGTTTTAAAATCCAAACATTAGATGTACCTAAACTAATTGCTGAGGTTTTGCTTGATTTGACATGAACTTAAAACATTAGTCTATTGCTAAAACCTATGTTCAACACTGGTAAATTACACCAAAACTGTTTCCGATCAAACTAATTCATATTTTGCAATACACCCTGGGTATTGTAGTTTACAAAAAGTATAGTTTGATTTAAATTTGGGTGGTAGGTCCATGGTCGTTTTTTGACATTTTCAAAATCAAGTAATTTTCCAATTATCACAGCACATATTTACCTGACATCTCAGAATAGCTATCTGCTTCTTTAGTAGAATTTGAATAGAGATACTTTGAGCCATATAGACACCTTCCTTAGTTCATATTACAAAATCCATAGCAATTAATTTACTGAATAAACAATTTTCATCTAAAAAATCCATAGGTTTTTATTTAGGTCCTTTTTGTCAAAAAGGGACTTTATGCGAACCTTAAGTTTAGCCATTAAAATTAAGTGCAGAATTGTTTCCGATCAAACTAATTTATATTTTATGATAAGCCCCAGTTATTGTAGTGTGCAAAAAATACAATTTTGTTCAAATTTGGGTGGTAGGTCCGTGGTCGTTTTTTGACATTTTTAAAATCAACCATATGTTGTATATTTACTTTAGGCATTAGTATACCAAATGAAGTGGCACCTGTATTAACAATATTATTGATACAATGGAAATACCTAGGCAATTATATTTATAAGGGTTGCTGTGAAAACAATAACTAGTGGCACAATAACTTTGGTAGTTGCCAATGTAGTTAAGGTGGCTTTGTTAGGTTTTTTCACTTGAAAGAAATGTGCGAGGATTATGTATTACATCACATTTCCTTGTGTTTAACCATAAAAAAAAACAATGCAAATGTTTCCAATCAAATTTTCTCTGTATTCACAAAGATGAATATCATAATTTGAAAGCACTTGTAAGTATTTGACTTCCTCCTAATTATTACAGTATAAGTGTAGACTGAGTGTGGTACACTACTATTGAAATTATTTATATAATATTTTAACAACAAAGTCACATTATAATGTACAGCTATATGTACACATATATCACACTATATGAACAGCTGCATAATTTTGGAATAAATTGTCTCATGATTGTCCCACCAATTGTCCTACATGTCCCATATTATGTACCCACCACACAAGAAATTCATTGTTAAAATAGAGAGGGCAGTTGTTTTTGAAATAAATCAAAATAGTTTGACTTTCTTTCTTTCTTGTGTTGTTTCTTGAAATAGATTATTTAGGGTCTTTTTTTATTATTGTATCTTCAAGCTATTACACACAAGTGACATAACCATAAACCATCCACTATGCGAGTTTTGTAGTTTACTGTTTACTGGTATCTGAAACTATTGTTCATATTTTCCAATATGTGTTGGAGACCTAGGAATAAATACGTTTACATTTGAGAATTTTATTCTATCACAAGGTTAATTCTAAATCAATAAAATCAAACTTAATCAGTATATTTCAATATGTTTATACTTTTATAGTGTGTGACTGTGTGTCACTCCTTCGCACGAATAAAAATGTACGCATGGAAAATTATATGATTCAAAATACTAAAAAAATTGAACGAACACTCACCTGATGTTCTTCTTTATTTGAAGGAGCTTTTCGCCTTTTGAAATTCCCCAAAAGTTAGTAAAACAGCTGTCACTCAACACGAAAACTTTACCAAACTTGTAAATTCAAAATGGCTGCGAAGCATATTTTAGCGAAGGCCTGGTTGCTAAGTTTTGAGCGATTTTAGGCAAAAATACGCGACTTTCTAAAAAATCTCCTCTTAAATGTTTCATGCTGTGTAACAAAGTGAAGCTACGAATCTCGCTTTGGCACGAGTGATTATTGATTTGTGTCCATTTCAGAGCTAGTCTCCCAGAGGGACTCGACTAATCGACAAACAATAACACAACTGTTAACAAGGTATAACAACAGCGTAGAGTTAATAAACAAAGAAATAAAAGTCTTCAAACAACTTAGCATCAAATATGGTATAACAACTGCCTAAAATAGACGAAACACATCTCGACGTTTCGACATGAGGGCCTTCGTCAAGAGAGTTAGTAAGGTGATAATACTAACTCTCCTGACGAAGGCCCTTAGGTGGCAACGTCGAGAAGTGTTTTGTCTATTTTAGGCAGTTGTTATACCATATTTGATGCTAAGTTATTTGAAGACGCTGCCACGCTGCTCCCTGGTTATGTTTAACAAATGTTTAAATTAATTATGTCCATCGTGATTAAATATTTCATGCTGAGACCCAAACTGAAGCTATGAATCTCGCTTTGGTTCGGGTAATTTATTTGTGTTGATTTCACAACCAGTCTCACAGAGAAAGGCATGAAATAATAAAAAGTGATTATTTGCCTTCGTCGATGAACAAAAACACAACATGTTAAACACAAAGGTTTAAATTACGATAAAAAGTATTCAATAACAAGTAATTTCAAGTGGAAAGTTTTCCAATCGAATTTAATACCTATCAACCCTTTAAAAATTAGCGAACATCAAGTATAGTGCTACAAAATTTCAATTGATTTATTGAAAAGTGTTTGAAATTCAAATGAAGACACAGAAGACGTAAGGATTTCAAGAGCGTATTCAAATACAGCTTTTATGCGACGTTTTAAAGAGAAGGAGGCTGGGGAGATGTCTACGGAGAAGTGTTTATGACCCAAGTGTCCAAGAGCATAATTCGTCAGAAGTGTTAGTAAAGTCATACTAACTCTCCTGACAAAGACCTTTAGGTCGAAACGTCGAGAATTTTTTCCGGTTTAACAGTTTTCAAACCACATTTGATGAGAAATTATTTCATCATGTTTACATATGAAACTCTTTTACTAAAGAATTTATTCGATGCACATGATTATTGCTGATGTTCATCGATTAATATTGAAGTGTTGAAATGTACCATCATAATATGCAATCATATCAACACAACAATATATTCACACACATATTCACACTAATAATTACACGTCTACAAATACAAAAGTACACGAGTATATTCCTAAATCTAATCTTAAATCTAATCTTAATCCAATCCATTAATCTCTTTAATTTCCGATAATAAAGAGGTTTAGGGATGGATTTAGGATTAGATTGAGCTCGTGTATTCTGAACCTGAAATTCGGAATAACTTTCCTTACCTTAATACACCAAGAAAATTATATCACCAAATACCCCGAACTATCCATATCCCCCTTGGAAGTCTCCTTCAATGATCTCAATTGTCCCCATTTTAACCTGAGATTTTGAAAAATTTTAAACATTAACTACCATGATGAATTTCGTAAGCGAAAAAGGTTATAAATCCTCTCTCAAATGGAGCAGGGTACTGGGTTAGGTCTGGAACCGCAAAGCATCTATGGATTGTTTTGGTGGAAAGGTAATGCAATAATTCGCAAAGTACGATATTTCGTAGAGCTATTCGACATAGGTCGAAAAGCAATCTTTAAAAGTTCGATTGCGTTGGCTAAAAAATCTGGACGAAAAACTTATGTAAACAAGTATAATTAATGCTCTGCATAAATTAACCCAGCTCTGAATATTAATTACGCTCCTGTGGAATTGCGATAATATGGAAGATATTCTCTGTCGGTTTCAACAATTCTTTTATTACAAAAGCTATGAAACTCATTTCTTTATTTAAGATCATAAAAAAGGTTTCTTACTCAAGATATTAAAGTCTCTTCATCAGCTTATAATGCACTCAGAGATATAAAATATTACATTCAAATGATTACTGGTTATATTTTACAATACGGGTGTATAAAAAGTAACCTCACTTTAGCGAGATATTGTACGTAACTTACTTGATCAACGAGAATAACTTTCGAATATGAAGACAGAACAAGCATTTGGCTGTTGAATGAAACGATTTTCACAGCGTAGAGAAAATAAACAAGGAAATATAAGTCGATTAAAAATCGTGGCAAGAAAATGATTGAATTTCAACACACATCCTGATTCACGTTTGTCGTCCATGCATAATAATTATTCTAAGCATCGTTTAACAAAAGGCAGTTTGACAAATCCGTGATTAATTGCTTTGTTCTTTTCTTTATCATAGCGCAGAGGTGAAAATATTTGAATTTGATCAGGATTCTTCAAACAATTCGTATTTGTTTATCAACAGCTAAAAGCCAGGGGACGGTTGTATGAAAGCTGGATAGCGCTATCCACCGGGTAGTGGTTTTTTCAATCGCTATAAAATCGCCCGCTGTTAGTTATAACTCTGACTAAATCTTGAACAGAAGCGGTTAGGTTATAGTGCTTTTCTCAAACTATATTTTCGTGGTATTTTTGTGTTTTTCGCTTGCGTATTCGCAGAGTTATAAGACTGTAAAAAAGTAGGTCCATTTAAATCCTAAATTAATTAGACCAGACCGGAATCAACAAACCACACATCTTTAAAGTAACAAGACGCGACTAAAACTGCAATAAGAATAGCAAGTTTATAGTTATTATAGTTACATACCGTTCCAAATAGCGCAATTTCTCGATGAATTTGCAGAGTTTAAAGGTTTTTTGCACAGAAGAAAGTCAGAGGGAACTCCTGCAAGAGATCGGAACATTTTCGGCGCACTGTCGAGCACACTTCGGAAACACGAGAGTTTACGAAGATAGGCAGTGTGATGGATCCATTATATGGTATAGATTATGCAGCTCAGTGGATATGCAAGCCATATTTCCAAAAGTGAAATATTATTGTGCATAAGTGAAATATTATTGTGAAATATTATTTTTTTGCATGCAACACGAATATTTTAGTTTTTGTTAAAAGCGAACGTAAACGGTAAATATCTTGACAATTTTTTGTGCAATAAAGTTGGGCACGTTTCGACAACGTATTTTTTTACCTAGAAAATTATTTTAGACCATTTTTCTTTTAAATTACAGATTTCATCATCTGTCATTTTGACAAAAACAACTCAATAATAGAGTCTTGCTCTGATAAATCGTGATCCTATTGATGTCTTTATAGGTTTTCAATTTTCAGTGAGGCTTTACGATTACGATCACAATTACGATTATGATTACGAATAGTAATAATCGAAAGGGTGTATTAAAATGTATTCGTCACCTGACATACATCACGATGAAATGATCGCAAATATTTATTTCTTTACGAGCTTTCGGCTGCGGTCATTGTAATTATCCGTCGAAGGCTGCAAAGTGGCAGCCGAAAGCTCGTAAAGAAATAAATATTTTAAACCAGAGAACGTCTGAAACTTTAATCATGAATCCTGATTTCGCCTCTAATATATTTAAATTCTTTTCTAATATTTAACAATTTTTCGCGGAATGCGAGCTAAATATCGCTGTATCAAAATATTTTCAACACGTGACAGCGTATATGATGACCAATGATCAGAAATTTTAAAATATTATTACAATCGTCCCCTACCTCCATTCCCTCTAGTTTCTCGTTCATTTCTGATTGTGCTTGTTTCACCTCGACAAATTCTTTCTATAAAAACAACACGATACTGCATATTCATTGACCGAAAACTAATTGTGAAAACTTTGCCCTAACGTTATCGTGCCACTTTAGGTGATTTCTATACATAAGAACCTAGCGGGATGGTGATTTTTCTCTTACACTAGGGGGCTGTTTACATGAGCCCGGTTACCGGCCGAGATTCAACGAAGCGTGAGATGACTTTGAGGTATTGAAATGAGCGGATAACATGATCCTGGCAGTCGTATAATCGCAACAACAATAGCATGTGCTTTTTTGGTGTCATAAAGACTTATTTCAATACCTCAAAGTCCTCTCACGCTTCGTTGAATCTCGGGTAACCGGGCTCATGTAAACAGCCCCTAAGGTGAGCGTGAGTGTGGATTCAAAATATCCTGGCAAATCCTTGCTTAGGAGTTAGGTCGTGATTACTATAAGGGGAGTCGTTATCTTCCCATAACGCTCTCGACTTTATCTTACAGTTCAGGCGTATCATACCGTCATCTCTTTTTTTGTTGCCATTTGACGGATCTGGACTTTTAGCTTGTCGACGTTTCTCTAAATCAAAGTATGAGCGTCAAAATCTTTACACAGAGATGATTAAAAAATACATTTTAACCAACTCTACACATGAAAGCAGGATAACTATATTGTAGTTAATATATAAGAAACCTAACATGAATCAGTAGAAATGTTGTTTGGCAAGGTGAATGCCAGGAAGCCTACGTTTTTGGGAACTTGCTTTTAGTGTATAAATATCAGCACCACGCGTACCAATTTAAGCCTAGCCACTCATAGCCACTTAGTGGAGAAGTCACTTAGCCTTGTCTCCTGGCCGACAGTGGCTCTTTTCAGACAGTGATTCTTCTTTCAAAATGCACCGTTGTTCAGAATCCACGATCGAAGTATATTGATCGTTAAATATGTTATAAATGTACCGAAGTTATTATACAATAATGTCATAATTACCTTAGTTTTTGCAGCGTCCTTAAATGCCTCATCATGGCTTCTCTTAATTCCTTCCACCTCATTTCTCATTTCATATTTGTACGAACTCGAGAAATTATGACTTTCTTCGTACCTATTGGTGACTTCAATCAGTTGATCTCTCAGCAAATTCTGTTCATTCTCTATTCCTTGTAACTTTTCGCCACCTAAGTTTAGAGTTAGTTCCATTTTATTTTGTCTCTCATTGAGTTGTTTCTGTCTCTCTTTGCTAGTCTTCAATTCACGTTTCATTTCTTTTTGACGCAGTTTGATATCTTTTAAACCCTGAATATTGGCTCCACCAAGCTGACAGAAATTCTTCTTGTGGTTGTCTTCATCTTTTGCATTTACTTCAAGGTGACACTCTTCACACGTTACTGGACGGTATTCACAATTATTCACATGATTTTGTAGATTTCCAAGCTCAACATGTTTGGGACACCCTCGATTGATGTATTCACACTTGATTTTCAGCTCTGATAAAATATTCTTGAAGTGTTTTCCAGGACATTTTAAAGTTTCAAAAGTGAGGGGTTGCTGACATACTGGGCATGTCTGGGAATTAGGAAGATGTTGAGATATGCAGTTTAAACAAAATCTATGTTCTTCTGCCTCGCATAATCGTGGCTCATTTAACACACACTGGCAAATGCAGCATTTAAAACCATGAAGAACTCGATCAACGAAACGGTCAGGTTCATAACCTTCACCCATCTGCATTATCTTCACATGAATCTGAAACATGTTTTCAATAAATGGTTAAAGAAATTATTGCCATAAATTACTTCCTTAGCCTGGATTTCATTCGGACGTAATTGTCATGAAAATGTCAAGGTGGTTCATGTATTTGAATATTGCTATGGCGTGTGTGCAATCAACAATGACCGATTGGAATTATTATTATTCAACAATAAAGAAAAGTTTACATCTGAACTATTTCACATCGGCAGGAATGACTTGTTTAAAACGATTGCAACAAAGGGCAACGATTGATATCGATGAAGTTCTTATCTTTTATAAGTAACACAAGATTTAAAATATCATCCTCAAGGAACGCTTCGCTGCCCAATAGTTCATAGTTGTGTTTACACTGTACAATATTCCCTCTGTCTCTGACACGATATCGTATTTTGCAGTTTGAGAACGCTCTGAACACTTTGAATTAGGATTTTACGATAAAATCAAACAATAATTGTGAAAAAACTTAGATTTTTTGACAAAATTACTCGAAAACGACAAGTGTTAATCTCGTGACTCGGGAATCTGGTAAAATGTAAACGTGGCGACCAGTGGAACTATCAAACCTACAGTGATTGGTAACAAGGCTGATATTGACACTGACAGACCAGGCAACTTAAACCATACAAAGATAACAAAATTAGACTTACCAAAGCTGATGAATTATCACAGAATTTCGCTTAAATATTCTGCGGTAAGCTGCTGCTAACGCGATCAACGATATTTTGTGAAAGACAACACCTTGATACCTTGTGCAATATTTGTTGTATCCATGACATCATTCATAACTTACGTCATTCTGTCATCGTGCTGTCAAAGTTCATTGTATTCATTCAATTCATTTGCATTCATTGATATCCAAGTGTCAACGCGTGATTACTAGTATTATGGTCGTGTCATTGTCTGAATTATTATCTTTCACAAGAACACAAAATTTATCAAAACGTCTTTGTTTTGACAATACCATTTCAAGAATCATGTTCCGAGAATCTTTTGTATTTTGAGAAACGCGTTTGCACTTGAATCTACAACGGATATTGTGCCTTTGATTCGAGTGTTATTGGGTTGTTGTAATTTAATATTTACTTATATTTGACTTAAGTTTAGTGAGTTTGTTTTAGTCTGGTTTAGCGTTTAAGAAACTATTTCGCTTAGTGGAGATGCCTTGCTCTATGTAATCACACAGACACTGTATAGTCCAACTATCAACTCAAGACCCAAAGTACCGTAATGTTAAATGTTTCATTGATTAGTGTCATTCCTTATACAAGATTTATCACAGTTGGATTAATTTGGTTTTCACCACACCACTTCAACACCATACTGAAAGAATTTTGCACTTTGAAAGAGGCGTTTGTATTTGTGTTCAGTACGAATTATGTGCCTGTAATTAATTTGAATGCATGTTGATGTTTCATGATGGTTCATTCACAGTTTATTGCACGTTATTTTTGAACAATCGACTTATCGTTTATCGCCTTATAATCGCGCAATCACGCAAAATTCAGTTATCTGTTAGCAGATAATTGAATTGTGATAAGCGCGGGAAAATTCTATGGGTTAATGATAATTAATATTCATTTTTTGTAAACTTACGTTCTGATTGGTCGATTTGTACCATGTGAGTGAATGTTATGTCACAACAACGCCACGACAGTGCCGTTATAGGATTTATTGCACTATCAAAATGGCGGCAACAAACAAAAAATTTGCCGAACTTAGCGAAGAGAACGAAGAGGAAATTAATGTAATTATAGATGAATCCACACCGAAAAATACTAAACGGGCAACCGCTTGGGGTGTTTTAGTATTTAAAGGTAAGCATGTGTTGTTTAGTTGAGTTTAAAAATGATACAAAGTCTTTACGAGTTTTCTCAAAATGAATATTAAAAGCATTAAAGCACTCTTTGTTTGTGTATTATCGGGATTTACATGCACTCGTTCACAAACAAGGAGCTCGAAGTTCAATACTCGGCTTCGCCTCGTGCAGTATTGAACTTCTCGTTCCTTGTTTGTGAACTCGTGTGAACTCACAGAGTGCATTAATCCTTAATTAACCTTTGCGCATCACTGAAAAATTTGCAATCTATCGACGCCAAAGCAGCCAAAATGAATGTAAAGTAATCTAGAAGAATATCATGATGTAGGTAAAATTTATTTGCTTTTGGCGCCGGTTGTATCAAGCCCGTTTAGCTTAAACGGTGGATAAGTCAAAATTAAATAACACTCTTAGATCTCTCTTGAATGAGTCAACTTGAATATTATGCACTGAATATGTAGTTGTAAACAGTAGCTTTATATTAAGGTCAAAAACATGTTTTGTTCGCTTGTTGAATAAAACGGCAGACTTGCTTTCTATTTTGAACTTATCCACCGTTTAAGCTAAACGGGCTTGATACAACCCCGGCCCCTGAGTGTTTACTAATTCACATGTCACAATTCCTGGCTTGTGCTACGCTGAATCCTAAATATCTACAGCGAATTACAATGAATTAAGATTTTAGAATCGAGACGAATTAGAACAAATGAAACCTGACTAAAATCTCGTTGAACGCGACTCAAAATTATTAAATTATCAAGGGCCGGTTGTATCAAGCCCGTTTAGCTTAAAACGGTGGTTTAATAAGTTCAAAATAGAAAGCAAGTTTATCGTTTTATTCAACAAGCGAACTACATGTTTTTGACTTTAATACAAAGATACTGTTTACAACTACATATTCAGTACATAATATTCAAGTTGACTCATTCAAGAGAGATGTAAGAGTGTTATTTAATTTTGACTAATCCACCGTTTAAGCGATACAACCGGCCCCAGCATATTGCGTCAGAGTTAATCGTGTCAATGCGTGCATTTTGTTATTTAAGATTGCTCACATCTCGACTAAAATAAATGTGTAAACACACTTACCAAACAATGTCGCGAGAACTACATTCACGCGGTGGCAATATAGCTTCTTCCATTGTGGTGTAAAACTGCATCTTTAGAGCTTTCCAAATGACTGAACAAATAGCGCAGTCTCGTCACGAATGGTGTGATCTTGTTTACCTTATATGGACATCAAAGACCCTTTACTTCCTGTTAAAAAGTTTCGCAATTTTAAAAACATGATAATAATCATAATATATCATATCACAAAACTAGACATTTGATCGCTGTTATTGTCAACAGATTAAAATAGACAAAATCAATCACTTTTTTAATCTGTCACTTTATAATATGCAAGATTTCAGAGAAACATGCCTGCCATTAATTTCTAGGAATTATTTATTTCCAAGTAATTTTGAAGCATGCTGACATGGAACTTCCTAAAGTTTTATCCCAGGATCACAGTTTGATCAAGATGAAATATGTATTTGTGTGGAAAGTTTTCTTGTTTACAAAAACCACCTCTGAGCCTGTTATCAATTTATGTTTCGGTCACTAATATAGAAAAACTTCATGTAATTTAAATACGAGCACAGAAATTTATCAACAGGAGTCCCTGCTTCACCCGCTCCTGCCTGCGATTCCTTATAACGAGGAAAAGGCGGAAAGATGCGACCAAAATACCAAATGACAACTTTTAAACACAGTTTATTACAGGATATTTTTAAACTATCGTTTTATAGTTGTGAATTAATGATAACACTTCACTCATCACGAAGTACTTTGTGATATAATCGCTTGTTTATAATCAATGTTTTACCAACGGCGAGAAATCCCTTGAATTATTAAAGACAGTCAAACAACATTCGCTGTCCCGCTGTTTGAACACAGACAAATAGCCAGAAATTATGTCGGGTTAAAAACACGTTGAAAAGTTCGCTAAATGCTGCTAACTTTGCACACGAGATCGCTTAAAATATAAACAAACTCACCAGTAATTTTCGTAGCGACAAAATTCTCCCTTTCCAGGGCTGAAATTTAGCAAACGATTATATGAGTAATTTTTGCCGTGCTGAAATTTAGCAACCGAAGAAAATTTAGCAAACGCTGAAGCCATTGTTGTTTATGCATGTGTGTAACACTGCGCATGCGTTGACGAATTCCCAGCCCGATTTGCCGGGCTGAAACGATTACATAATCGAAACGTCAAAAATTGCTTGCGATAATATAGGAAACGGGCTAGATCGGTCCATGTAATCGGTCCATGTTAAGTTTAATGAATAATATATTAGAGTGGTCGAGATGATCACGGCTCTGGTGTTTGAGAAAAGTTGGTGAAACTCAAATACATAAAAATTGAAGAAACTCACCAAATTTATAGTTGAACAACAGAATGATCTCATGACTTGCTCTTTCCTTCAGTAAACAATGTCATTTGTTCTTAATATGTTGTGGTTTATCTTGTTTCAACTGGAATGTTTTATATTGAGCCTGGTCTGGTTAACCAAGGGCTGAGTTGGTTTTCTTTTCGAACTCTCGTTGTGTCTCGTTGGAAAATTGAAACTTTGTTTTGTTGTCAGGTTCCTCGTGGTCCAGCACTCCAGCATATACGAGATCAGGAATTATACCACCCTTCGTTGACAACGAAAAACATGGTTGATTAAAAAATATCTGGATTATCCAGTTAAACACACTAATTTATTGAGATCAGACCAAACTACCGACCTGTTCATCGTTGGCAAACGACGATATAAATCTTGAAACTGCTGATGAACAATGCTCATATTTTAGAACTGCACCATTTTTTCTAAGAATAATGCGGTGAAAAATACTGATGTTTCTTGAAAAAATACTGCTTTTTACCCCACCCTGTCCCCTCCTAAAACATGTAACCCTCAGTGTCCTACGTATGGTCTGGTCTAAGTTCAGAAACGAATCGTAATGATCGCCATTAAAACATGGATAATATATCTTTTAATAATCAATATTTATCATCAAACTTATTTTACTAATGAATCTAATGTCCTGCTTATTGCTAATGTCCATTGGTTAAGATTAAAATGTCAAATTGAACCTATTTACACACTAATAATATTGGTTAAACCTCACCAGACGCCACAGTATAAGAATATAGAAATATTATAGATGACAACAGCAGTTATCAACATATAAGAAGTTTATAAGAACATATATAAGAACACAATATAGTTTATATTGGGAAAACTTTCAGATGTGAGGTTTCACAACAGCGGTTGCATTCCATCTTTTTTCTATCATTCTAGGCAGTTCTTTCCAGCCATCTCCACCAATGGTAAAGGTTTCCACCGAGTTGAGACATCCCTGCTCATCATTCCGTCCACCAAACACGATAATGACGTCATTCATGATGACGGCACAACTGCCGCTCCTTTTATTAATCATGGAGGGAAGCCACCTACTTTGCCCCGTCTCAGTCTCATAGATGATGACGTCATCTAATATTCGACCATTGTTATCCAAACCACCGAGAACGATGATCTTATCACCCCAAATGACTGTGGACATTTCAAAAACAGGCTTAGGTAACGATGGACATGGCGTAAAGTTATTCTCAACCAAATCATAAACAACAACGCCGTCAGTAGCATCCTCATAACTCTCGGTTGTTGATCCACCCAAGATAAATACCTTTCCATTAACTATCTCTGCTCTGTGTTCATATCGTGGCTCTTTCATTCTCGTCAGCAACCTCGACGTGTGAGGCGGAATAAGAGCAGTCTGGTATATGGCATCAGATATCATATTTTCATCCTCGTTGAATCCGCCAATAGAAATCAATTTATCTTCATAAACAAGGGCGGCATGGCCTCTTAACTTTGCCGGCAAGTTACCATCAAACATTGTCCATCGCAAAGGACACTGCTTCATATTTAACGCTTCTATTGTGTCAATGGCATCATCCACACCCACACCGCCTGCGACAAGGACGTTATTGTTGTGAACAAACGATGCTGTTTTACTTCGGCGATTATTGAGTCTTGGAAACATAATAGACTTTTTCTCAGCAATACTGTATATTTCAACAGTATCCAAAGGACGGATGTCTTCATCGCTATAGTCACCGCCAATGATAATAACGTCTTGTTTCTTGGCTGAAATTGTGGGGTCAATTGCATGAGCACTATTTTTGTGAACAGTGTTAATATCTATTTGTGATAAATGATTGAGAAATAATTCTTCAACTCTTTCAAGTCGCTCTTTCGTCACCTAAACAGTTATAGAAACACACATGGAGAATCAAGAAGATTTACTGACGACGTTAGCTTAACTGTAAATGGATCTGTGGCATATGATCTTGTGAATAAACGATGAATTTTTAAAGCTCAGAATTGTATTTTACGACGTTTCTAAGAGTGTTGTAGTTAGCGTTGCAACGAGGATCATCTGAGCGCTTTCATCACCTTCATCTAAATAGGCCCGTCGCCCGTCGGAACCATATTTTGCAATCATCGTCCAGGCAAATGACATAATTATCGAGAAGGTGCATTTCGTCAGGTGACAGCTTATATGATAATCAATGACCAGCAATTATGAAATATTATCACAATATTTTCTTACCTCCATTTCCTCAACTTTCTCGTTAATTCCTGATTGGGTTTTTTTCATCTCGTCAAGAGCTTTCTAAAATAACAACCTCACTCACGTTCATACTCATTTAATATGAATTACCTCGGAAACGGGGCGATGGAAATAAGTTAAGATCTCAAAGGATTAAATTTTATGCAGCAAGAATATAGAAGAAACATCATTGTAAGTTGTTTTTTAAGAAACATCTTCTTAAGCTAATTCCTAAGAGAGGGGATCTCTGTCTTTTGTACATATCGCCTTGGCTATATCAGTTAAAAATTAACCTTCGTCTCATCTTGTCTCACTTCGATTTGATCTTGTTTTCTTGCCATTTGAAGATGCTGAATATACAGCTCAGCTTGAGACGTTGTCAGTTTGTTGACATTTGTCTAAATTACAAGTATGATGGTTAAAATATTTTATTGTGGTAACACGATCCAACTGATGTGTACAAAATTTCTCTATTATATCTCTGTGGTGATATAATAGAATATAATCTATGAAGTGATAGTTGAAACTGGGGGCCTTAGGCACATTACGATATGGACCTTATCAGATTTCATTGTTCTGCTTGTTTAGGCTTAGTCTCATCTTGTCTCACTTCGATTTGATCTCGTTTTCTTGCCATTTCAAAGTGCACTTTTTAATAAAGCGGGAAAACATAATGACCAAGGATCTAAACTTTTTTACTTAAAAGTCCTCTGGATCAGGCTGTTCTCTCAACGTACCTTGAGTTCCACGAAGACACCATCATTTTTACAGGATTTCTGGTGGCTATTCAATTCTTTTTCTTGTATAGAAGTCATATTTTCTAAACGTTTTAAAAGGAACAGTGTTTCAGAAGTACATAAACTAAAACACTGGATTAAAATTTAAGCCAGGGTTAGCGCTAACCTAGCTTTGAACTACTGCCCCTGTTTTAAACAAGATGAAAATGGGCGCCTACACCCAGCATGAAAAAATAACAGCTGCGCTTTCAATGCTGTGTACATTTTATTAGTACAGCCAAACACCGTAGCTTATACCTGAGGTCTGTGGGCCAGCTTCATTTATCGTTCCTTCTGCTAAAGTCGTGGCTGTTTCAGACGACGATGGAAAAGCTGGCGTAGCTGACGGATTGGACGTCGAAGGTGTATCAACAGCAGTTACAGCTGGTGTGTCATGGGTTGGCGAAATCGCTGGAAGTTCTCCGGTAACCTCTGAGGTATCCATCCTCTTTAGATCAAAATATTTGGATTGTACGAGTGGCTAAAATTTAGTATTCACGGTGAACTGGCGAATATTGAGCTGGCCATGGCGATTATAAATGTGACACGGACAAGATTAAACCAGGCAGCTTTTAGACTTACCAAGGATGATTGATTATGACAGATTTTCACTTTGACATTTTACAACAAATTAAATTGGTGCGAACGCAATCATAATAATTTTGTATTTAAGACAACACTTTAATATATCGTGATGTTTATTGTGTTTTGGGGACTTTGAGACATCATGGTGCGAAAATTGTATTCATTTCAGACATTTGCATTTCTTTCATATTCCAAGTATAAACACGAGTTTCCTAGTATTATTAAATTGCTCGTTGCATGATTGAGTCATTATCTTGTGCATAAAAATTATTTAAACTGCTTCTTTGACAACAGTATTAGCCGCACGAAGCTATGATAAGCCTCAATACTTGGGCTTCATGACTTGATGAGGAATAAGATTTAAACAACAAAATATGTCTTGCACAAAAGATTTGAATCTTGCACACGGCAAAAACGAATCGTCTGAATTAATAACCTTGTGTATACTTTAAGCCTCAAAATGGCCATTTCAAAGCTGTCACTGTCAGATTTGTATGATGAGCTGACAAAAGATTGCAGAATGCGTATTCAGAAGAAAAATTGAACTTTTTAAAGTTATTCAATAGTTTTCTCTTTGATAGCGAAACAGAAATACACAATTGTGAAACAGTGATTAGATTCTCGGCTTGAAACTTCAGAAACAGCGATTTCTGTGGCGTTTCTAAGAGGTGACTCCAATGAAAAACCACGCTCTAGCTAGCTTTTAACAACCCACCCTACACAAACAACCTACTTGTTTGGTTACGCGTTATATGTTGCGCGACTAAAATGTTCGTTTTCTGAACAAGAAATTAATGTACTAGAAATTCCACAATGCGTAGCTTTCTGGACATTTCTTCCTGAAATGGCATGATATAAAAACTAAACATAACGCAAGGTCAGTTCAGAAAACATCCAATTTTCCGATACACCGAAGCTACAAGTATATTTCTTAGAGGACAAACCTATTCACATTAAGAAATAAACGAAGCTCACTTTTGATAAAATAAAGGACAACAATCAATATATATATATATATATATATTCGCAATTATTTTTGGAGGATTTTTCCCGCGCAACCGATAATTTGCGACGCGTACTGAAGCAATATCCTTCAACTCTTCTGTTTCTATGATTGTAAATTACAGATTGTACAGTTCAACCTAACAAAAATATTTAAATAAAACTTACAGAAGTAAACGATAAATGGTGAGAAATTCTTTCTTTTGACATTCAGCAAAAGTTTTTGTTAATGCTGTCAGGAGTGATTCGTTAAGACAACGCCTTGATACGCCGTAATATTTATAGCGTCGAAGACGTGGCGTCGTGGCTTCAATGTAATTGCTGAAACATCCTTATAAGGAGCTAACAGCTTGTCACTGACAATAGTCGCCTCGTCGAGAAATTAAAGAGCCTGTACCACATGCACAGGTTTTTAATAAAATTAGTTAGAACATTGTAATATCGAGAATTACCTTTTTAATTAAAGAAACAATATTCGGTATATATCAGTGGTTTTGTAAATTTTAAGTTAATTTTGAGCAGTTGTAAAAACGTATTGGTTATAGATCTCTAGACGTGTATAAAGACTTGTGTCGCAGTAGAGTTACAAAGCTTCTTTGTGTTTTGAAAAAGTGTACTTTCGTATTTCGAAAGTAACGTTTCAGTTCAAGCTGGAATGACAGAAGTAATATTTTGGTTGCGACGTTACCAAGAAAATTCAAAGAAACATTTTTAATGACAACATCGCATGACCACAAGTTTACAACGTCAACCTTACACGGCTTGCCTTTAACAAAAGAGGACCGGAAATTGAAACAACGCACCACCTGGAGTTTTAATTTAAAATGATTTAAAACAATACAGGGTGTCCCCAAAACCCCCCAAAATTATTGAAAACACCTGTTGTTAGAATTTGAAGGCTTCGTAGAAACACAAGTAACCGGATAATTGGATGGATAGCTGGTAACTCTAGTAACTGAATATTGATAAATATCAATGTTAAATAACGAAATAAAGATTATGGGCAACATTTCTAGGCTCAATGGTAAATTATAGATTGTCCTTAAGTCTTACGCGCTATAGAATATTATCTCCATATTCATTTAAACCCTGTACAATTGTGGGCCCCAACACAACAGGGTGCTTAGGCATTCAAACTCTAGCTGTTAAATTGTTATGGATAACTTCAGTCGTTTTGAGGTTTTTAGAACACCCTGTAGTGCAATATTATTCCGAGTTTTATTGCCATGTTATTCCGAGTTTTATTGCAATATTATTCCGAGTTTTATTGCAATACATTTCGGAGTTTTATTGCAATATATTTCGGAGTTTTATTGCAATATATTTCGGAGTTTTATGGCAATATAATTCCGAGTTTTATTGCCATATTATTCCGAGTTTTATAGCAATATAATTCCGAGTTTTATTGCCGGCGATATAATTCCGAGTTTTATTGCAATATTATTCCGAGTTTTATTGCCATATTATTCCGAGTTTTATAGCAATATAATTCCGAGTTTTATTGCAATATTATTCCGAGTTTTATTGCCATATTATTCCGAGTTTTATAGCAATATAATTCCGAGTTTTATTACAATATTATTTTGAGTTTTATTGCCATATTATTCCGAGTTTTATTGCAATATTATTCCGAGTTTTATTACAATATTATTTTGAGTTTTATTGCCATATTATTCCGAGTTTTATAGCAATATAATTCCGAGTTTTATAGCAATATAATTCCGAGTTTTATTGAAATATTATTCCGAGTTTTATTCCAATATAATTCCGAGTTTTATTGAAATATTATTCCGAGTTTTATTGCAATATAATTCCGAGTTTTATTGAAATATTATTCCGAGTTTTATTGCAATATAATTCCGAGTTTTATTGCATTAGGGACAGACTTCTGGGCTGGTTGTATGAAAGCCGGATTGCGCTATCTGTTATATTTCGAACCAATATAAATATAATAACGAATAACTCACCAGACGGTTATATCGTAAAATGTAATAAACTAGGAAAAGAACATGCTGTTATATGGATACGGATATATATACAAGTTTACATATGCTAATACATTATGATTGAAAACCTTATGATTGTTATACAAATTATCATATGACAACTATGACACTATCCACAGGATAATGTTTTTTCAACAGTTCTAAAAAATAATTATGATAACTCGAAATTTACATAGCGGGACAAAATCGTCAGGCTGACTACGCCACTGACAACAGCAGTTGCATAACATCTCTCTTGTATCATTCCTGGCAGTTCTTTCCAGCCATCTCCACCAATGGTGAAAGATTCCACTGAGTTGAGATATCCCTGCTCATCATTCCATCCACCAAACACGACAATGACGTCATTCAGTATGACAGCTGAGCACCCAGCCCTTTTGTAAATCATGGAGGGCAGTTTCTCGCTTTGCCCTGTCTCAGTGTCATACATCATGACGTCATTTAATACGTGATCATTCACATCCATACCACCAACGACGATAATTTTATCACCCCAAGTGACTGTGGACATACGACAAACAGGCTGGGGTAACGATGGACATGGCTTGAACTCATTCTTAATCAAATCATAAACAACAACGCTGTCAAGAGCATCTTTACTAAGGATGGTTGTTGACCCGCCCAAGATAAATAGTTTTCCATTAACAAGTTCTGCTCTGTGGTCCTTTTTTGCCTCAGGCATTCTCGTCAGTAGCTTCGCAGTATAAGGTGGGGTAAGAGCAATCTCATAAATGGCATTCGATGTTCTTTTTTTATTCCAGTCATATCCTCCTATTATATATAATTTTCCTTGATAAATTATGACGTCATGACTGGATAATTTGACAGGCAGTTTACCATCAAACATTGTCCATCGCAAAGGATGTTGGTTCATCTTCAAAACTTCGATTGTGCCAGTTCCATCATTATCGTCGTGACCACCAACGACCAGAAGGTCATTGTTGTAAACACATGATGCTGATCCTGCTCGAGGATGATCGAATGGTGGCAGCATAGTCGACCTCTTCTTAACAATATTATATTCCTCAA